AACCTAGATACTTCACTTCAAGTACAAGACTAATCTTTTCCCATTAATAAACAAGAACACATGCCATTCATTACCTTTGCATACATGGTTGTATTTCTGTGTCACTGTTGTTCTTAGTATAGTCTCAATCTGCATATCAATTATAACTTAACCAAGGTAACTAACTTCTGTTTCACAGAGAAACTGGGAAATTTCTGTTATATACAAGTGTTTTAACAAACCAACAGAGCTCATGGATATACCTAATACACATATCCTTTCCACTACATAACATATAAAAATTAAAATCATATATATGTTAAAACTACACTTGCTGACCAGTGTTTCAGTATTCTGTCTTACTTAGGAATTATTCAGAGATGCAAAGATGATCCTTTAACTCAATTTAATATTAGTCCAAGGTCTTAAAGTTAACTGTTGGAAATTATGTTTAATCTTAACATACCACAGAACATAATTACTGTTGATATAGAAAAGTTTGTCAGAATTATAATTTAAGTTTACGTTTTCCTTCATCTTAAACATTATATGGAAGTAATATTAGCTTATCAGTAGACCCTTTTTTCCTTTTTTTAATGTCCATTTTATTCTTTTTTTAATTATTTTCTTATTTGTTTTTATCTATATGATGATGCCTTTTTTTTATTATTATTTATTTTTGGCTGCATTGGGTCTTCGTTGCTGTGTGCGGGCTTTCTCTAGTTGCGGTGAGCAGGGGCTACTCTTCCTTGAGGTGCGCGGGCTACTCTTCCTTGAGGTGCGCAGGCTTCTCATTGCAGTGGTTCTCTTGTTGCGGAGCTCGGGCTCTAGGTGTGTGGGCTTCAGTAGTTTGTGGCATGAGACCTCAGTAGTTGTGGCTCGTGGGCTCTAGAACGCAGGCTCAGTAGTTGTGGTGCACGAGCTTCATTGCTCTGCAGCATGTGGGATCTTCCTGGACCAGGGATCGAACCTGTGTCCCCTGCATTGGCAGGCGGATTCTTAACAACTGCACCACCAGGGAAGTCTACCAAGGGAGGTTAGGTAAGAACTTCAGAACTTAAGGAATTCAGATGTAAATTAGTATCTTCATGAGAAACCCCAATTTTATTTTCTTAAATTTACTTATATTACACTCTACAATGATTAAATCCAGATAAAGAGAAATAGTTATTTTTAAACCAAAATTGTAAACCAGTCTGATTTGTTCAAAGATTCACTTTGATTACTTTAATTTGGATTCTTGTATAAGAATACTTACGAGCTAACAGTTCCTGTGAGAAGGGTTTTTCCTTAAAAAGCCACCACATTTAATATAGTGTAGCACTCCTTTAATTAAAAAATAGAAAATTGGACATTTTTTAAAATATTAGGAAAATAAACATGCACTGATGCAATTTTGCAGTCTCAGGGCAAAAATCCCACAGATTTAAGCAGACTTAATGTTTTGTTGTTGTTGTTGTTGTTTTTATAACATCTTTATTGGAGTATAATTGCTTTACAATGGTGTGTTAGTTCCTGCTTTATAACAAAGTGAATCAGCTATCCATATACATATATCCCCATCTCTCTTCCCTAAGCAGACTTAATGTTAATCAGAAGAAACAAAGGCAACTCATCCACAGGAACCACAGCAGGAGGATGGAATGCTTTATAATGTATATCAAAAACAGCTGGAGGCTTCTTAAAACCCTGATTCTTGGGCCTAACCCTCATTAGGGTTCTGGACTGAGAACTAGCATTTCTAATGAGTCCGCAGGTGACACTGATGGTGAAGGCCCAGGGATGAGCTCTGAGAACAAGTTTTCTAGGAAATGTGAGGCTGCCTGCCTCCAGGCCCCAAGTCCAGCCTCAGTTCTAACTGACATTGCCTGTGTCTCTGCAGTGAACAAAGCAGACAGATAAACAATGAACGATAACAAAAAGGCCACCGTATTTGAAGTATTCTACATTCACTTTTTAATTTCTTGAGGATTCTTAACGTTCCTTTATATTAGATTTTTGTAATCTTATTAGTGTCTGTAAATCAGTAAAAACAGAGCTCTTTCATTTTAAGAAATTTATATCTAATTTGTTAATACCCTTCCCAGAAACAGGAAAATGTTTCAAACTCACACAGGGAAGGGTAAAGACTCTCAAGTATGATAGGCACACAGAGAGCCTACGGCTTCAGGTCTACTTCAGTTACAGGTTAAAGGAAACACAAAATACATGTACTCACTGATCTAGATCTCAAAGGGCTTTTCTTCTTTCCAGTAAAAGCAAGACTTATTCTTCTACAAACCAAAAGACTGTTGTACCAGATTATTTGCCCTGTCATACCCAAAAGAGAATAGGTCCCCATCCTCCTATTAACGGGGAATAACACACTGGCTGTGTGCAAACCAGAATCAGAACCAAACATAGCCAAGAACCAGAAATAAAAGTGAAAATAAAAGTCAGGAAAATAGAAACAGTAGAAAAACAGAAACTCTGAAGTTAAAGTTCTGTTGCCACTTGGTATTCACTCTAGAAGCCAAAACAAACAAACAAAAACCAGTGCCCCAGGAGGTACACTCTTTAATTGGTTCAAGAAGGCATATATATCCACTTGAACAACTTCGTATAATTCCAAAACTGTCAAAGTGTAATTTTCAAAACAAGACTCAGTAAGATATAGTGAGTGCATGTCAACATTTAACACCTTTATGAGGGAACCAGCGTGATGGTAAAGCCACTAATTTGGCATTATTTATTACAGGGGTGTGAACTCAGATATTCAGAGGGGCCAGGCAAGCAATTGTAAGTAAGGGAAGCAGGCATTAACAACGTTGCCTAGAGAGTGGTGGGGAATGTAGCAAACTTGAGAGAACATACCTTGTCTGAAGGCAGCTGTTGATCATCTTCAGCTAATTGTTGCCTCCTGGGAATGCAAGCTTAGTGTTGCTTATTCCTATCTTCCATATTTTTTCACGGAGGCTATTGTTCTGGGTTTAAGATGAATCTTCCAGTTTTAAAGTGTTGATACCTAATTCAGTTTTTTAAAAACACTGTATGAGCCAAACAAAACATTTCTTCAGGCCAGACATGGCCTAAGGGCTGTCAGTTTGCAACTTCTACAGTAGATGTTAGTTATATAACACAGTGAAGGAAAAGTTTAGCCAAAAGTTGTGTTTTATTTGAAAGAAAAGTTTTTTTAAAAAGATACACTTTCAGTTTTCTCACAAGAGTGAAAAAAAAACATGATGGGATAGTGTTTTGTCGGCTAGCAATTCAGTGCCTCCCACATACATAAACATACATTTCCATATTAAGTTCTATTTTTTGTCCATTTAAAATATAGTTATTCATTTTCTGGAGATCTATATCATAGCGTGAATATTCTTAACACTACTGAACTGTAAATTTTAAAATGGGTAAGATAGAAAATTTTATGTTATGTATTTTTTACCACAATAATATATGTATGAGAGAGAGAGTGTGTGTGTGTGTATAATTGAATTTTATTCAAAATGAAATTACTCATTTTAAATTGTCTTTGTAGGGTAGTGTATTGAATGTAAAACATACAGGGTTTACCCAGAAGTTGTACAGTCGGTAACGGGAAAGCCCAGAGGCAAGGAGATACTTTGACAGGCTGCTGTGGCCTTGTCAAAAGATCTTGAGAACTTTTTTAGGGAACTAAATTTAGTAGTGGGAATGGTGTTCAATTTGGAGACATTTCAGGAGCCAAATTGGGGAATTTGGTGAAAAACTGAATGTGGAGCTTGAGGAAATAATAAAAAGATTAAGGTTTCTTTCTTGGTACTGAGTGTACCAGTACTTAAGATAGGAAACAAAAACAGATTCAGAGAAAATTAGTTCAGTTTTAGGCAAGGCATGGAATTTCAGGACTTGAAGGAAACCTAGAGGTTACCTAGTGCAACCGTCTCATTTTACAGATGTGAAAGTCATTAAGTGATATCTTCGATATCACAATTGAAGTCAGAAGCAGGACTAAAGTTTCTAGACTGAAAGTCCATCTTTTCTCAGTACACCAGGGCATCTGTTCTGTGACACATGGTTCTTTCAGTTCAGAGATGAATGTTGTGATGCTGTAGTAATCCTCAGGCTGTCGCCATATGTTAGTTCAGAAGGCCTGCAGATATCTTCAGGACACAGGATACCAGACCCTTTTCCTTGCTCTATAAACTCCAAGTATGCCTCTTCTGAAGAACTCCAGGCCTTTTCTTCATTTTAAGTTGCTTGTAGGACATGTAAATGGAAATGGTTTGTAGATGTTTGTAATTTCATTCCTGGAGTTCAAAGGAAAGGTTGGAACTACAGATGGAGATTTAGGAGTCAAGGACCATTTCTTGAAACATTCTAGGGAATGATGTTTATATAACTATGTAGCATTCTAAAGAACTTAGACTTTATCCTATGAGAAGTTTTCAACCTCAGCTGTACATAAAAATTGCTGGGTCTGGGGAAGGATTGATGATCTTTAGTTTTTAAAAGCCCCAGAGGTTTCAGATGCACAGCTATGACAAGCTGTTGAAGGATTTGACACAATCAAATATGCATTTAAAAAGGTAATGTGAGCTTCAGTGGATGGGGAGAGACTTGCACTAGTCCAGGCAAGAGATGATATCTTTCAATGACTACATAATATTTTGAGTTAATGTTCTATAATTCTCCTATCTTGTAAGGGTGGGATATAAAAATTTGTTACTATCCCCCAAAAGTGCATCTTCTGTTTCTTTTTTGTTATTCTTTTGAATTATTTCACTAGGACACATTCCCAAGAGTAATTCTATTGAGTTGAAGGAAATGAGTAGTTTTGGCTCCTGATTATGTATTACCATAATAGTTATAATCAATTTACAGTGTTACTCTCCATATGGTGTGCCAAATACGACCTTTAGAATCATTTTATAAGGTTCAAGGAAAGGAAAACTGTTGGGATTTTTATTAGAGTGATTTTATTTTGAAATTAACAATAAATTATTGGAACAATGTTTATATCATGTTTATGCTATTTTACATGGTTTTATCTTTAATAGATTGATGAACTCCCAGAGGGAGCTGTGAAGCCTCCAGCAAATAAGTATCCTATCTTCTTTTTTGGCACCCATGAAACGTAAGTCAACAAAACAACTTAAATTTTCAACAATTCTAATTTGATTCTGCTAGACTACATTATATGTTGTTAAAATCACTTTATATTATTTTATATGTTGTTAAAATCATTATAATCAATTATATAAAATTGCAAAGATAATATATTTTTTTCTTAATGTAAAGATTTTTCATTTATTTGGCTTTTGAATATCATTTCTGTTTCTGCTTAAATGTTGGGCATGACCCAGAAGTTTCCTTTAGGACACTTTTAAGACCTAGAGAGATGTCTTCCATTCATATTTCACAGAACAAAGTTATGTTCTCTCAGTCTCCTTCAATTTGTCAGACCCTGAAGGAAACATACTACCTTTCTAAGTTTTTGTAATTGTGTTGGTCAGAATACAGATTAAGCTATTGAATAAAGGAAACTGAAAATACAGTGTCTCAAATAATATAGGAATTTACTTCTTTTTTTGGAAACAGTCCAGGGATGGGGGATCTAGATAGATAGATAGATAGATAGATAGATAGATAGATCTGTCTATCAAGGTAGATAGATCAAGGTGGATGTTCCTTCCGCTCTGCTCTAGGGACCCAGGTTTCTTCTGTTGTATTGTCCTACCATTCCTAGGGCATTGCCCTTGTCTGCTTATTTAAAAAAAAAGCAAAACCTGGCTCAGCAGTACCTGTGCATCTTCCAGGTAGAGGGAAGGGGGAGAGAGAAGAGGTAAGGAAATGACACAGCAGTTGAATATGTGGCTTACAGTTGCATTTATACCAGTGGCAAGAACTTGGACATATGGTCACATCTAGCTGTAAGGAAGCTGGAAGCATAGTCTCTAGCTAGGCAACTTTGTTGGGGAAGCAAATTGGGAGGAGTATCCATTAAAAGAAAGACAATGATAATGGATGCTAGGGAACCATAGGCAGTCTTGACACACAGAACCTGACACACTGAGAACGTATATGGTTATTTACAACAAGGACACAAATGGAATAGAAACTGCAAATGGGAGGGAAAGCTAAAAACTAAGATGAAATCTTATATTCAGGGTCACCCCCTATGTTCGTGTGAATGTTAGTAGAGCCAGGCATGAACTTCTTTTCTTTTTTGCGTTACGCGGGCCTCTCATCGCTGTGGCCTCTCCCGTCGCGGAGCACAGGCTCCGGACGCGCAGGCTCAGCGGCCATGGCTCACGGGCCCAGCCGCTCCGGGGCATGTGGGATCCTCCCAGACCGGGGCACGAACCCGTGTCCCCTGCATCGTCAGGCGGACTCTCAACCACTAAGCCACCAGGGAAGCCCTAGGCATGAACTTTTTTTCTTTGCTTGCTGTCTCTACCACTCTGACATCTTCCTCATTCTCGTATTGAAAGAGAGCTAGCTGGGAGAGGGCCGTTTAAGGCATATTTCTTTCTTGTCTTCATGTGAGAAATTTATGTTTTTTTCAAGAGGTTAGTTTTATTTTCTTTGTTTTATTTTTATCTAATAGACACTTGTGGACTATGCAACTTAACATGTTTTTCTCCTTGAAGAGGTTGCTCGAAGCTTAGAAATAAATGTTTTACCTATAGTAATAAGTGCGTAGGGCTTTGTGATACCCATTTTTGTATTTCCCTCATTCCTGCTTCCCTTTTATGTCTGTACCATTATTTTGCTTTTCCTTTAGAACCTAAGTCCAAGTGATCTGATTGTACATCTAGAAAAAGGCAGGATTTGATAAACAAGATTATCACGTTTCCATTGCATACACCAAAATCAACCATTTACTAATATTATATGGTAACTTTCATTCACTTAGTAAACATTTTCTAGATATTCTTTAAGGCACCGAAAATAAAAGTTGCCCTTAAAGAATTTGCCACCTAGTATATTGCTAGTACAAGTAACAGAATCATTCCAGTAAACAGTGTGACGGATTTTATGGAGTTATTTCTTATAGCATCCTTAATATAAGTCAGTGGCATAATTCCAAGTCTCAATTCAGTAAAAGCAATTCTACCAAGGAACAGTGTGATACAGTCCATATGTGAGTTTTTTTGCTGGATTAGAAAACCTGTTATAACATTGTTTCAGCTGATCATTTACTAAGTATTGGGTGTCCTTAAACCTGAGATTATATGCCCTGGCAAGTACCTAATACCTGAGATTATATGCCCTGGCAAGTACCCTGTGAAGGCAGAGATTCTGTGGATGTTGCTAAGCCCTATATACACAGTGCTTTACACAGTGCCTGGCCCATGGTAGGTGTTTTTTTGTTTCTTGTTTTTTGAATTTTATGTTATTTATTTTTTTATACAGCAGGTTCTTATTAGTCATCAATTTTATACACATCAGTGTATACATGTCAATCCCAATTGCCCAATTCATCCCATCCCCACCCCCCGCCGCTTTCCCCACCTTGGTGTCCATAAGTTGGTTCTCTAAATCTGTGTCTCAATTTCTGCCCTGCAAACCGGTTCATGTGTACCATTTTTCTAGGTTCCACATATATGCGTTAGTATACGATATTTGTTTTTCTCTTTCTGAGTTACTTCATTCTGCATGACAGTCTCTAGATCCATCCACGTCTCAACAAATGACCCAATTTCGTTCATTTTTATGGCTGAGTAATATTCCATTGTATATATGTACCACATCTTCTTTATCCATTCGTCTGTCAATGGGCATTTATGTTGCTTCCATGACCTGGCTATTGTAAATAGTGCTGCAGTGAAAATTGGGGTGCATGTGTCTTTTTGAATTATGGTTTTCTCTGGGTATATGCCCCGTAGTGGGATTGCTGGATCATAAGGTAATTCTATTTTTGGCTTTTTAAGGAACCTCCATACTGTTCTCCATAGTGGCTGTATCAATTTACATTCCCACCAACAGTGCAAGAGGGTTCCCTTTTCTCCACACCCTCTCCAGCATTTGTTGTCTGTAGACTTTCCGGTGATGCCCATTCTAACTGGTGTGAGGTGATACCTCATTGCAGTTTTGATTTGCATTTCTCTAATAATTAGTGATGTTGAGCAGCTTTTCATGTGCTTCTTGGCCATCTGTATGTCTTCTTTGGAGAACTGTCTATTTAGGTCTTCTGCCCATTTTTGGATTGGGTTGTTTGTTTTTTTAGTATTGAGCTGCATGAGCTGTTTATATATTTTGGAGATTAATCGTTTGTCCATTGATTTGTTTGCAAATATTTTCTCCTATTCTGAGGGTTGCCTTTTCATCTTGTTTATGATTTCCTTTGCTGTGCAAAAGCTTTGAAGTTTCATTAGGTCCCATTTATTTATTTTTGTTTTTATTTCCATTACTCTAGGAGGTGGATCAAAAAAGATCTTGCTGTGATTTATGTCAAAGAGTGTTCTTCCTATGTATTCCTCTAAGAGTTTTACAGTGTCCGGTCTTACATTTAGGTCTCTTATCCATTTTGAGTGTATTTTTTTGTATGGTGTTAGGGAGTGTTCTAATTTCATTCTTTTACATGTAGCTGTCCAGTTTTCCCAGCACCACTTATTGAAGAGACTGTCTTTTCTCCATTGTATATCCTTGCCTCCTTTGTCATAGATTAGTTGACCATAGATGCGTGAGTTTATCTCTGGGCGTTCTGTCTTGTTCCATTGATCTGTGTTTCTGTTTTTGTGCCAGTACCATATTGTCTTGATTACTGTAGCTTTGTAGTTTAGGCTGAAGTCAGGGAGTCTGATTCCTCCAGCTCTTTATTTTTTTTCCTCAGGACTGCTTTGGCTATTTGGGGTCTTTTGTGTCTCCATACAAATTTTAAGATGATTTGTTCTAGTTCCGTAAAAAATGTCATTGGTAGGGCTTCCCTGCTGGCGCAGTGGTTGAGAGTCCGCCTGCCGATGCAGGAGACGTGGGTTCGCGCTCCGGTCCAGGAAGATCCCACATGCCGCGGAGCGGCTGGGCCCGTGAGCCATGGCCACTGAGCCTGCGCATCCGGAGCCTGTGCTCCGCAGCGGGAAAGGCCACAACAGTGAGAGGCCCGCGTACCGCAAAAAAAAAAAAAAAGAAGAAGAAATGCCATTGGTAATTTGATAGGGGTTGCATTGAATCTGTAGATTGTTTTGGGTAGTATAGTCATTTTCACAATATTGATTTCTCCAATCCAAGGACATGGTATATCTCTCCATCTGTTGGTATCATCTTTAATTTCTTTCATCAGTGCCTTATAGTTTTCTGCATACAGGTCTTTTGTCTCCTTAGGTAGGTTTATTCCTAGGTATTTTATTCTTTTTGTTGCAGTGGTAAATGGGAGTGTTTCCTTAATTTCTCTTTCAGATTTTTCATCATTAGTGTATGGGAATGCCAGAGATTTCTGTGCATTAATTTTGTATCCTGCAACTTTACCCAATTCATTGATTAGCTCTAGTAGTCTTCTGGTGGCATCTTTAGGATTCTCTATGTATCTATGTATGTATCATGTCATCTGCAAACAGTGACAGTTTTACTTCTTCTTTTCCAATTTGTATTCCTTTTATTTCTTTTTCTTCTGTGATTGCCGTGGCTAGGACTTCCAAAGCTAGGTGGAATAATAGTGGCAAGAGTGGACATCCTTGTCTCGTTCCTGATCTTAGAGGAAATGCTTTCAGTTTTTCACCATTGAAAATGATGTTTGCTGTGGGTTTGTCATATATGGCCTTTATTATGTTGAGGTATGTTCCCTCTGTGCCCACTTTCTGGAGAGTTTTTATCATAAATGGGTGTTGAATTTTGTCACAAGCTTTTTCTGCATCTATTGAGATGTTCATATGTTTTTTATTCTTCAATTTGTTAATATGGTGTATCACATTGATTGATTTGCGTATATTGAAGAATCCTTGCATTCCTGGGATAAACGCCACTTGATCATGGTGTATTATCCTTTTAGTGTTTTGCTGGATTCTGTTTGCTAGTATTTTGTTGAGGATTTTTGCATCTATATTCATCAGTGATATTGGTCTGTAATTTTCTTTTTTTGTAGTATCTTTGTCTGGTTTTGGTATCAGGGTGACGGTGGTCTCGTAGAATGACTTCAGGAGTGTCTAAAACTAGCTGTTGAATGAATTAAAATTGATTAAATGAAATAAATGAAAGGGGGGGAAGGTATGTGGAAGGTGAGGAACTTAACAAAAAAACTGTCAGCAGGAGCACCCTCAGGCAGGACCAGAATTTTCCTCAGAACATGGCTTTGAATCTGTTGCTCAGACAGATAGGTGATTGGAGCCCCAATTTCTTCTGCTCCATATAACTTTACCCCAGTAGTTTTAGTCCGGACAATTTTCAAGGCAGCCTTTGTCAGGAAAAAAAATAACATCCTTAGAGCTTGTAACTTTGAACTATTTTCTGGCCTACCCTTTAAAATTTATAAAACATACAGCAAAGTTAACCAGTTGAGAGGGGATTTGATTTGTGGAATTATCTATAATCCAGGAAAAACCAAGATTGTCTGTCAAAAACAAGAACTTGTTTTAGAATAGCTCATTCAGTGTCCCTCTTTCTGGCAGCAGCTAACATGGCCAGTTGAATCATTAACCTTGACTCCTGAGGCATAATTAAAGTACAGACAAGCTCTGGTTAGCATCTATAGCTGACGTGAACCTCAGGCAGCTTAGCCCACAATTCCTATACATAGAGTCAAGGACTGGAGAAAGGTCACAAGCCACAGTCTAATAATTCATGTCAAATTGCTCTAAAAGTGAAATCACCATACCCAAAGCCACATTTCCTTCTCATGCTCAGTTTGTCAGGCATTTGGTTAGAATGTCCAGTATCCTAATAAACTATCTCTGGATTCAGTGAAATGCAGTCATGCTGAACAGTTAAAGGTGAACAGTCAAGGAAAGTTTGGTGATTGGGGTCAGAAAGCTTCCTCAGGTGATTTTATCAACTTGAATTCTTGACCAGCTGGGCAGTGTAAGGAAGGGATCAGTACTAAGATCCAGCCAGAAAATGGAATTTATAAAAATCAGCAGTAAACTGTTAACCTATCGTCTCAAAGCTTTCAACATCATCTCTGCAATAAGTTCCAAATATTCATCTCCAGCACAGACCTTTCCCCTGAATTCCAGAATCACCTGCCCAGTTGCCTACTTGACATCTTCACTAGGATATCTAACCAAGTTTTCAAATTCAACATCCAAAACTAAGCTTTTCACCTTCAAATCTTGTTCTCTCAAAAATCTTTCCATTTCAGTAAATACCAACTGCATTCTTCTAATTGCTCAATCTAAAACCTTGGAGATAGCCTCAGTTCCACCCTCTCTCTCACGTGCTGTATCTAGCCCATTAACAAATACCTTGGCTCTTTCTTGAGAGTGAATTCAGAATCCAGCCACCTCTCACCAACTGCACTGCTTACAACTGGTCCAAGTCACCACTGTTACTTCAATAGCCTAATTAGTCTCTCTGCTTCTACCCTAGTACCCAGCTCTTCAGTGTGTTTTCAACACAGCAGCCAAAGTGGCGCTGTTAAAACACAAATTGTCACTTCTCAAAACCTTTAATGGCTTCCCATATGACTCAAAGCCTTTGTAGTGGCCTCCAAGGCCTGACATAATCTGTGCTCCCACCCTGTTACCTCTCTGACCTCATCTCACACAGCTCTCTCTTCAGTCGTTTCAGTCTAGCCACACTGGCCTCTTAATTTTTCAGACACACTAGGCATTCTCCCACCTCAGGGTCTGTTGTACTTGCTCTTCCTTCAGTCTGCTCTACTCTTCCCCAGATAACTGCATGGGTTCTTCCTTCACCCCCTTCAGTTCTTAGCTGTTCCCTTTTCAGTGAGGCCTTCCTTCTTGATCTGTATTTCTAAAACTGTAAAATCCACCCCAGTCCTTAACCATCCTCCTCCTCTGCTTCATCTATATATTTATTGATTTATTTTCAGCACACAGTACTATGTATTTTATTTATTTATCTTCTTTATTGTCTGGTCCCCTACCCTTGCTAATAGAATGTATGCTCCATGAAGGCAGAGACATTCATCTCTTTGTTCCCTGAAGAATCCCCAGCACCTCTGGAATAGTGCTTTACACATTAGAGATGTTCGATAAAATTTGTTGAGTAAATGAATCTTAGTTTGAAATGAGTCTCAGCCAGCATGTGGGCCTCCACCATCTCATTCACCAGGTTAATATCATAGATAGTAATGCTGAAGACTCTAGTTTAAATGCTCAGATCTGTTAGCCAGCCCCAGGATTTATTCTAACTCATTTTCTTTTCATAATTATGACTAATTTAGGATAAGGTTTAAATTGGATAATATTCTATCTACTTTGCCACTTCTGATTTTTTTCTTGTGTGCCTCATTAAACACTAATGCTTTTTTAATTTATAGAAATAATAGTGAATAAATACACTAATGTGGCATAAAGAGTTAAAATCATTTTTTAATCCAGTGTTTATGTTTTTACTGTGAGTCTTACAAAACCCTTACCTGTGAAAGATTAGCTTAGGTAAGTCTTAGTTTAAGATGATGATTTAAGTGGTCAAAGTAGACATCTTTAAAACTACTTTTAAAGTAGTTTAGCTAAAAATCAATTTCAAAACAAAAAAGAAATTAGTAATTTAAAAGTAAAATCAAAGTAGCACCGTTCAGTGTTGCTGGTTTGCATACCTAGCTGTCTATTTTTTCTACCTTGAAATATATGTGCAAAACATCTTGTGATATGTGTCTAACTGAGAGGGTTTATATATACTTTTAATGTATTTACTAAAATATGCTCTGACACTTGAGTTGATATTAAAAATATCTTATATTTGAAGGTCAGAATATCAAATCTCTTTCTAATATATCTCTGCAGTGCATTTCTAGGTCCCAAAGACCTTTTCCCTTATAAGGAATACAAAGACAAGTTTGGAAAGTCAAACAAACGGAAAGGATTTAATGAAGGATTGTGGGAAATAGAAAATAACCCAGGAGTAAAGTTTACTGGATACCAGGTGATGGTTTACTTCATTATCACTTGCTGCATCTCATTTTTTATTTTAACTCTTTTTTGGATCTTTCTTATATGTCCTTTGTACTAATGATTACCCACCACCCATTTGAAGTCAGAATTCTTTCTGGTTCCAGTAGCACTTTGGATTAAATGTACAGGCATACCTTGCTCTGTTGCACTTCACAGATACTGCATTTTTTACAAATCAAAGGTTTGTGGCAACTCTGCATTGAGCAAGCCTGTTGGCCCCATTTTTCCAACAGCATTTGCTTACCTCATGTCTTGGCATCACATTTTGGTAATTCTCTCAATATTTCAAACTTTTTCATTATTCTTATATTTGTTATAGTGACCTGTGATCAGTGCTCTTTGATGTTACTATTACAATTGTTTTGGGGCACCACAAACCACACCCATATAAGACAGTAAACTTAATTGATAATGTTGTGTGTGTTCTGACTGCGCCACTGATCAGCTGTTCCCCTTTCTCCCCCTCCTTGAGCCTCCCTATCCCCTGAGACACAACAGTATTGAAGCTGGGCCAGTTAATAACCCTGCAATGGCATCTTAAGTATTCAGGTGAAAGGAAAAATCACACATCTCTTACTTTAAATCAAAAGCTAGAAATGATTAAGCTTAGTGAGAAAGGCATGTCGAGAACTGGAATAGGCTGAAAGCTAGGCCTCTTGGAGCCAAGCAGTTAGCCAAGTTGTGAATGCAAGGGAAAAGTTCTTGAAAGAATTTAAAAGCACTACTCTGGGGAACACATGAATAATAAGAAAGCAAAACAGCCTTATTGCTACGGTGGAGAAGGTTTGAGTAGTCTGGATAGAAGATCAAACCGGCCACAACATTCCCTTAAGCTAAAGCCTAATCTAGAGAAGGCCCTAACTCTCTTAGATTCTCTGAACACTAAGAGAGGTGAGGAAGTACAGAAGAAAAGTTTGAAGCTAACCGAGGTTGATGCCAGAGGTTTAAGGAAAGAAGCCATTTCTATAACATAAAAGTGCAAGGTGAAGCAGCAAGTGCTGATGTAGAAGCTGCCGCAAGTTATCCAGAAGATCTAGCTAAGATAATTAATGAAGGTGGCTACATTGAACAACAGATTTTCAATGTAGGTGAAATGGCCTTCTATTGGAAGTTGCCATCTAGGACTTTCATAGAGGAGAAGTCTATGCCTGACTTGAAAGCCTCAAAGGACAAGCTGACTCTTGTTAGGAGCTAATGCAACTGGTGACTTTCAGTTGAAGCCAGTGCTCATTGACCATTCTAGAAATCCTAGGGCCCTTAAGAATTATGCTGAATCTACTCTGCCTGTGTTTTATAAATGGAACACCAAAGCCTGAATGACAGCACAGTCTATTGACAACATGGTATACTAAATATTTTAAGCCCACCGTTGAGACCTACTGCTCAGAAAAAAGATTCCTTTGAAAATCTTGATATTACTGCTCGTTGACAATGCACCTGGTCACCCAGAAGCTCTAATGGAGATGTACGATGAGATCAGTGTTGTTTTCATGCCTTCTAACACAACATCCATTCTGCAGCCATGGATCAAAGAGTAATTTAGACTTTCAAGTTTATTATTTAAGAAATACATTTAGTAAGGCTATAGCTGCCATAGATGATGATTCCTCTGATGGATCTGGGCAAAAGTCAGTTGAAAACCTTCTGGAAAGTATTCAGCATTCTAGGTGCCATTAAGAACATTCATGATTCATAGGAAGAGGTCAGAATACCAACATTAACAGGAGTTTGGAAAAAGTGGATTCCAAACCTCATGGATGACTTGGAGGGTTTCAAGACTTCAGTGGAGGAAGGAACTGCAGATGTGGTGGAAATGGCAAGAGAATTAGAATTAGAAGCAGAGCCTGGAGATGTAACTAAATTGTTGCAAACTCCTGCTAAAACTTGAATGGATAAGGAATTGCTTCTTATGGATAAGCAGAGTGTAGTTTCTTGAGATGAAAGCTACTCCTGGTGAAGATGCTGTGAAGATTGTTGACATGACCACAAAGGATTCAGAATATTATATAAACTTAGTTGATAAAGTGGTGACAGGGTTTGAGAGGACTGACTCCAATTTTGAAAGAAATTCTATGGTGGGTAAAATGCTATCCAGCTGCATTGCCTGCTACAGAGAAATCATTTGTCAATTGATACTGCAGACTTCACTGTTGTCTTATTTTAAGAAGTTGCCACAGCCTCCCAGCCTTCAGCAGCCACCACCCTGACCAGTCAGCAACCATCAGCATGGCTGACCCTCCACCAGCAAAAAGATGAGGACTCACTGAAGGCTCAGATGATGGTTAGCATTTTTTAGCAATAAAGTATTTTTAAATTAAGGTATACACATTGTTTTTATAGATATAATGCTACTGCAAACTTAATAGACTACAGTTTAGTATAAACATAACTTTTATATGCACTGGGGAACCAAAAAATTCATGTGACTTGCTTTATTGTGATATTTACTTTATTGCTGTGGTCTGCAACTGAACCTGCAGTATCTCCGAGGTATGCCTGTAATTCTATTACCTTAAGAGGGTTCATGTCAATTGGTCACTGGAAAATTGAAGTTGACAGCCGTTTATTTTGAAAATCTTGAGTAAGCTGAACAACTTCTAATTAGAATGATTCTTTTCATAGTCTGTAGTCTTTGCTATTTTTCAAAAATGTAATTAGCTAATATTTTATTATCTCTTAGGCAATTCAGCAACAGAGCTCTTCAGAAACCGAGGGAGAAGGCGGGAATACTGCAGATGCAAGCAGTGAGGAAGAAGGTGATAGAGTAGAAGAAGATGGAAAAGGCAAAAGAAAGAATGAAAAAGCAGGCTCAAAACGGAAAAAGTCATACACTTCAAAGGTTACTAAGAAACCTTTCCCATTGTTGTTAATGCTGTATGCATATTCATTAAAGGTTTTTAGATTACTTTTAATTCATTCACTGGGCACATAGAAATATATTAGCTCTGTGGAGCCTCTGCCTTTAGAGACAGTAATATATCTGAGGGGGATAAGACAGGTGATCTTAGATGTGAGGTTAACTGGTATTGACTCATAAGGGCTGTTGACCCTGAAAATAGCACCTTCTCTGTTGGAGGAAGACTGTTCTTTAATCAAGGATATAAGAATAGGTATTCCTCTTATAACAACCCCCAGGTGAGCCCTGAAGAATTTAGGAATATAGGAGACTCAGTACAATTTAGGACTATGTCTAGTATTATAGATGTAAATATAAAGATAGACTCTTTCTTGTCTCTCTGCTTTAAAGAATGTGCTTTGGTTCTTTATTTGTTCAGTTCTCATATCTCAGGTCACCTATTCTATGTCAGACACTTGTACTAGGTAGATAGTGGTGAGCAAATCCAACGCCATTCCTACCCTCATGTAACTTACAATACAGTGGGTTGGAGGGGGTGGAAACACAGAGTTAAAAAACAAATAATAAATAACTGTAAATTCTGAAAGGGCTATGAAGGAAATGAATGGGAGCAGGGAACAACAGAGTAAGTGTATCTATTTAGATAGAGTGGCCGGGCCTTTCCGAAAAGATGAAATTTATGCCGAGACCTGAAAGAAGAGCATGGGACGAGGAGCGCGTGTGGCAGAGCAGCAAAGCTCTGAGGGAGGGAAGAGTTTGACATGGCCTGGATTGAAAGAAGGCAGGCATGATTGGAGAATCATGATCGGGAGGGAGAGACAGGCAAAGGCTAAATAATGGAGACTGGCACGCCATGTTAAGGAGTTTGAATTTTATTCCAGATGTAACAATCATTTATTGGAGGCGTGACATGATCCTTGACTTACAAATTGAAAGTTTAAGTTTTTCATACAGTAATTCAGAAATACAATTGAAAAAACTATGATATTGTGGAAATTCTTCACCTTTTAGAAACTTAAAGCAGGGTAGATGGATCTTTGAAGATAAAGATGGGTACAAGTTTTGCTGCAATTGGTCTGTCACACAGTTGAATACTTGGACAAATTACTTCCATTTAGACTCTGGTATTTATTGGCTGGATATACTTAGGAAATTCCTTAAAAACAAGTATCAAGGGTTTCTTAGACTATCAACATTTTATTTTACAGTCTATAAAATCCACCCAACTGGCATACGGGTAAAATTGTGTGAATGCATGTAACTTCCTGTACACCTAATGAAAAACATGGTATCTGCCTTAAATGGGGGTAAAGTTTGCAAATGGCAACAAAATAATTAGAATTTTCCCTAACAGACTGTATATTCCATAGGGGTTATTTTTTAAGCTGAATTTCTTTTAACATTTTGGACTTCATTTAAACACCCAATTGAATTTAATTTAGTTTATGATTGCCTGCTGAGCTTCTGTGTAATGTGTTGCACCACCCTAAATTATCTAAGCCCTCTAAGGTACCTGAGGTATTTAATAGTGTGGATATGTGGCTTTTAAATGTCATTATTTCATCACTCTTGTGAAAACCAGAAGTAATAGGGCTCATACCTGGGGTGGATTTATAATTTAAAGTAGTGAAGAGGTAAAGACATACTTTACTTACTAAGGCGTATCGATTTTAAATTAAAGAATCATTTCCTTTGCTTTCCTTCAAGATCACAACTTTCATGATCACTTAAGAACCATGATTTTCAATTTTCAATATCAACCGAGTAACCTAGCACAATAGTTCTCAAACTTTTGCATGCATCAGAATCACCTGGAGGGCTTATTAAAACACTTATTGCTGAGTGTCAGCACCCCCCACCATTTTCTATTTTAGTAGGTCTAGGGCAGGGTCCAGGGTGGGGAATTAAATATCCAGTGAGCTGATGTTGCTGATCTGGGAACCACGTTTAGAGAACCACTTACCTCGTATAACCTCACTGCTCTCTTTGGCTTCCCAGATGTTTCCTTTTTGTTGAATATGGTGATTTTTTTTACATCTGTTTCTTGAATAATCTTCCTTTTCCACTAAACTCTTGGTTCACAAACTTTTTTGACTGCATCCAAGTTAGGTTGAGGGAGAAGTCTCACTTTCCCTCTACCTCACCTAATTCTGTTTTTTCTGTGGAAAAAAATGTTCATAAGAGCCATAGTATAAGCACATTTGAGGGAGGTTATATATATATCATTTTAGCAGTAAGTGTATGTGTGATTCATATTTGAGCCATAACAGATACTAGAAAATTATAAGCAAAAAATATTTTGCATGCAAGTTATTTACTGTATAAAGTAGGGCTAATCAGAGAGCCTCACAACAAACTAAACTGATGATGATAGTAAACCGTTAGTAATCTTAGTTAAAAACCAAAGATAGCAACAGTTGGACACACAACCAATTCAAAACCATATTGATGAAACTGATGAAGGGTCCTTCCCCAAAATTACAGGAATTGCGACGATCTGCATAAGCACAGTAAGCACTTTCTAAGGTTACCAAATATAGCTTGGCAGCCAGATTTCTTAGTAGAATACCGAATGTGACTCATTAGCAAAACATAGAAATGCCCTAATTCTGGTCTATGTATATCAAATTATAAAGCTTAAAAACTCACTTGTAGAAAAAAAAAAAAAAACAACTCACTCGTAGGATTACTCGTAAGTATCCTTTGTAAGCACTATAAATTTTAGGGAGTTCTGCCTATTATCTGTAAGAACTGCAAGTCAAGGACTATTACTTGAGAATTATTATATAAAGCAACTATTGCATTTCAATAATTATACTGTATTTACTAGGAGAACAAAAGTATTTCACTTTTTACATCATCATACTTGATCTAAACTTTAACTCCAGGCACTCCATGTTTGGATTATTAAACCCCTGCTTTCCCTCCTTGTAAAAAGTAAAAATGAAGTCATTTTAAACTGACATTTTGGGCTTGGTTGGTAGTTTCATTTAAGTAAGATAGAAGCAGTGTAATTCCATATTCTGTCACATAGCTAGAAGATATTTTCTCTTTGAAAGTTGCATTTTAAAATATTGATTGTCTCAGGAAGCTCAGATTTGCTAATTCATTTCTGTAAGACCAAAAGTGACTTGCTTTAATGAGTTTTGCCTTAGCTGTTATTTACCATGTGCTTAAAGATTCATAAAATTTCTCAAAAAGGAAATGTAAGTGAAATGCTACATGTCATTTTCTTAAAGGTACACAGTGGGGCCAGCTTTTGATCATTTTAATGCTGTTCTGCAAAGCAGCTCTGGCTGCGAACTATAATTGTATTTTCATCTTCACTGTAGAGTTCATCTTGGTTTCAAATGCAAGTTGATAAGAAAAAAAGGGCTAGTTTTCCAGTGTGGCCTTGAGTTCTTAAATAACTATCCATAATTTAAAAGATTAAAGTTAATTCATATCATATGGTGATAGAAAAGTTTTGTCAAGATCATCCCATGTATACCATTAACCAAACAGCTTCCATAAGTGTTCCAACATGAATATCCATATAGTATCCTAGATAGTTTACCTTGCTTCTCTGGACCTCACATTCTACTGTGAAATGATGGGGAAGGACAAGGAGACCTTTAGGGTGCCTTCTAGCTCTGTAGCCTTCCTAGAATGGTGTCCATCACCTATATTTATTCATTGACAGTGTTCCAGGTATGTGAATCTCTATTTTCTGCTTTTAATATCACACTACTGGAAAGAACTAGAAGGTTATCTAGTCCACCTCTACTTCCTTTCCAGCTGGTTAAACTGAGGCCCCGTGAGGTGAAATCACTTGTCCAAGGTCACCTAGCTCAGTCGTGGCACACTGCCATGTTGTATTGGTATATCCTGTATCAAGCCACAAAGACTGGATATAGGTCAGCTGCTTCTACATTTCTTACTTACATTTGTGCATTTGGGTTTCTACTTTTGACTATACTTTTTAACTTGTCTAAATATTTAGAAATCCTCTAAACAGTCCCGGAAATCTCCAGGAGATGAAGATGACAAGGACTGCAAAGAAGAAGAAAATAAAAGCAGCTCTGAGGGTGGAGATGCCGGCAATGACACAAGAAACACAACTTCAGACTTGCAAAAAACCAGTGAAGGGGTAAGAATATACCTGTGATTTCTCTTATCTTCCTGTTAACTTAGAAGACATTTTGCCTCAGAACAGGTTTCATTATCTCAGCATTAGTAAACGTTGCCTTAGTAAATGGAGAAACATTCTCAGCTTGACATATACATTCACTCACAGCTCCTGAATAAGTGATCAGATGCTTAGAGTCTGAGAACAAAAGAGAGCTGGGTGGGAATTACACCTGTCTATCAGTTTGGAACTCTGACAGGTTTATTCTTTTTTAAACTAACTTCACCTTGAGAGTTTTTTAGAAGTCAGGCATGAAGTATTGAAATTATGAAATGCCACCTCAGAATTTGACAGTTGTATTTCTTATATTATAAAATGAATGGCATGTTCAAAATAGGGTATTTTATACTGCTCCTTCTTTCTTAGAAGCAGTATGTAATTTAATATACCCATGGGGATTTTAAACATTTAAATATTCAAGCTATATGTGAATATTAATGTTTAAAGGAACCAAGGGGAAAACTTGTACACTTTGAATCTTGTTAACTTTTGTTAACCTCTGTTAACTTCAAAGTCACAGGCAAGTCCACCTTCGTAAAAGTTTTAGTGAAGGCAGATTTTGCCCCTGGTCATTTTCCATGAGTCTTTATGAAGACTAATTGGACAGCAGCAAATCATTTTAAAACAATACTGATAAAATAAATTATTATTACTCTTTAGTTAAATTCTGGTTTCAGCTGAGTTCTTGCTTACTCTTGTCATTACTGTTTACCTCTCAACTGTCCTCCTGCTTCCAGTTACCCATGATTTTTCCCAAGTTATGATTCTGTTTATTCCCTTGTTTCTCTCACCCAGCTCAGTTTACCCCATCCTCTGCCTGTCTTCCTTCTCTTGACCTCTCTCCAATAAATTTCTAGCTGTACTTCCCATGACAGAGGAAGAGGTAGTTTACACCCGTACTACTCAGTGTGTGGTCTGCAGACAGGTAGCATCAACATCACCTGGGGGCTTGTTAGAAATGCAGAATCCAGGCTTAACCCCAGAGCTATCAAATCATAGTCTGCATTTTAACTAAACGCCCAAGTTAAAGAGAAGCACTAATCTGCACCTTCCTATCACCAGAGTCCAGAATATCATCTCCTGCTTTCTCCAAGGCTACACCCCATCAGTGGTCCCCTTTCTCTCCTATACCTTTACTTTCTTTTCTGCTGGCTCCTTACTCTCTGCCTATAAACAGTATCAGGTCTCCCTTAACCTTAAAGATACCTCCCTTCCACCATGTATCCTACTCTTTTCACCTTTCTCTTTATCTCTAATTTCTTAAAAGAGTTCTTTTTTCTCCCAGTGTCCATCTTCTCACCTACTCATGCCTTAACCCAGGGGTCCCCAACCCCCAGGCCATGGACCGCTACCTGTCCGTCAGAGGCCTGTTAGGAACTGGGCCACCCAGCAGGAGGTGAGCGGCGGGCGAGCAAGGAAGCTTCATCTGCTGCTCCCCATCGCTCGCGTTACCGCCGGAACCATCTCCCCCCCCGCACCCCACCCCTGCCCCTGCACCCCAGTCCGTGGAAAAATTGTCTTCCATGAAACACAGTCCCTGGTGCCAAATAGGTTGGGGACCACTACCTTAACGCATGGCACTCTTGTTTCTTCTTTGACCGGTTCATGGAAACTGCTCTTGTAAAGTTTCCTAGTGATCCTCTCATTGCCAAATCCAGTGTCTCCTTTAGTCTTTATTTTACTCTGCAGCATTTAATACCATTAGCCACTTTCTCCTCCTGACTTTGCCTCCAGGTCACCAGTCTCTTCTGCTTCCTCTCCCAGTGTCTCCTCAGTCTCCTTCTAGAGCACTTTTCTCTAGGCTGTCTTGGTACACTTCCAGTCTGAAAGCTTCCCCTGTTTCCATCTTATGCACTCATGTGGTTTCAGCTGTTAGGTGTTACTGATGACTTCTCACTCTAGCTCTTGCATTGTAGATTCATTTTTCTAATTTAATAAAACCATTTCTACTTTAATAACTTGAAAGCACCTCAGAAGATAGTTGCTACTAGAAGTAACAACAGCAGCAGAGTCAGAGTAGTAGTGGCTAACATTTTTACCATGTGCCACATACTGTGCTAAATGCTGTACATGCATTTGATCCTCATACAAATCCCAGGAGGTAGGTGCAGGTGTTATTTCACTTTGTAGCTGGGGAAACTGAAGCTGAAAGGATTGGGCCAGGGTCGCACAGCTAGTCAGAGCCTGAATTTGAAGCAAGAGCCTGAGATCTTTTTATTTTTAACCTGTTTCTAATAATATAATTTTATACACAAAAGGATATATATATAAAATATAAAAATAAAGTAGTAAGCATGGTAATTTAATGAATACCAGAGACCCTACCACTCAGCCAAAACTAGAACATAACAATAACTTGTATCTATATACATGTTCTTCCCCATCCTATCTTCTTCCTAACCAGAGATAACCACTAGCGTTGTATTTATTATTTCCTTTCATTTTCAAAATTTTAGCCCATACCTAACATATACGTATATACTTAAATAATAATATAATTTTGCTCATTTTTGAGCTAATGCACATAAAAGAGTTTCTTTAGGGTATGTAAACTCACACTGGACATGCTGAGTCATGAGTTTAAGGTTTTTAACTTTACAAGGTAATGCCAAAGTATTTTCCTAAGTTGTTGGATCCATGTATACTCCCACCATCAGTGTATGAGTTCCCTGTGACTAACTGGGCATTGTCAGACTTTAAAATTTTTGCCAATATAGTGGATGTAAATTATAGTCTAAATTTGTGATTCTTTGATCAATAATGAAGTTGAGCCTCTTTTCACATGTTTATTGACCACCTCTGTTTCCTCTTCTGTGCAGTGCTTGATTTTGGTTTTTTGCCCATTTTCCTGTTGGACTTCTTTTCTTACTGACTTGTAGGACTCCTTTACATATTCTGGATTCTCACTGCCATGGGTGGTCACATGCATTGCAGATATCTTCTCTAAGCTGTTAGTGAACAGACTTTCTTAATTTTATTGTAGTCAAATGTATCAAACTTTCCTTGTTATGGTTATCGTTTTTCTGTCTTGTTTAAGAAGTCTTTTCCTATCTCAAAGTCAGAAAGGTATTCTCCTATATTTCCTTTTAAAATTGTAAAGTTTTGTTCTTAACATTTCAGTGTTTAATCCATCTGGAATTGATTTTTGTGTATAGTATGAGATAGGCTCCTACTGCATTCTCCCCATAGCATAACCATTTAACCAGCACCATTTATTAAATAGTCTCTCCTTTCCTCTCTGATCTGCAGTGTCATCTGTCATATAGCCATGGGTCTCTCTCTGGGTTCTCTATTCTGTTCCTTTGGTCAGTACTAAACTTTCTTAAATTTTAGTAGCTTTATAATGTGTCCTGATATCTTATAGGGCAAGTAGCCTAATTTTTTTTTCAAATATTTAATAGACATGGTCCAGGATAGAAGGTCAGAGGGGCTTTTTTTTCTTGATGGGAGAATATACAGCACATATGCTGATGAGAATGATCCAAATATGGAATGATCACAAAATAATAATGTAAGAAAAAATTGCCACAGTAGTGCTCTTCAGAAGGCAAGAAGGCATAAAATCTAGTGCACATCCGGAAGGGTTACCTTACTCCATCCACTGAAGCAGGAGGAAATGCAGAGCGTTTGGGCACAGGGGCAGGTAAATGAGTACTTGGGGTGAGAGCATGCAAAAGTTCTCTTCTGATTGCTTTTATCTTCTTAGGAAGCAAGGTCAACATTTGAGAGTGAGAACAGGAAGAAGTGTTGAAAGTTTAAAGAGAGAGGAAAAGGGATAAAATAGTTACTTAGAAGAACAGAAGAGTGATTGGACTTGGGAAATGAAGTTGAATTGCCAGACAGCGGTAAGGGCCCACGTGAGGTTAGTGGTCATGAATTTAAAGTGAGAACAGTCAGATGGCTGTGTGTTTTTCTCCAGGCATATTCAATTGTGCAATCATGGAGTGGCAGAGAATTGCATTTAACTAGAATTGGTGCTTGCCCAGAGAATAAAGGAGGTTCAAGACAAGGGAGTTGAGGATGTATGCAAGGAAGGGATTAATTATAATGATGGACCCATGGAATCCAAAATATGTTCAGAGGGAAATAAGGATGTGAGGAAGGAGACAGGATCAACAGATTTTGCATATCCAAGAATTCTTGGAGTTGGAGTACTGGATAAAGGGAGCGAGCTGGAAAGATAGGTGGTTATAGAATAGGAAGATGTTTAGATCAAACTGCGGAAGGGTGGCAGTAGGTGCTGATGACAGTGCAGGTGAGTTTGGTATTTTGAGTGGGACAGTTTTTCATTGTGTGAGCACTGTTCACATCGCAGGACATTTAGTACCCTTGGCCCCTGCCTGTTAAATGCCACAGGACCTCCAAGTTCTTATAATAACCTAAAATGTTCCCATAATTGCCCCCAAAAGAACAGTGACTTAAAACAGTATTTGCAAATACTCTCAGTGGTTGAGAAACACTTGTCTACGAAATAGCCATGGAAATGAGTGACTGAGGTAAGGTGGAAGACGAGATCTTTGGAGAAGAGGAAGTCTAGGAACTTAAGAGGCCAGAGTGTTGGAAAGACGATCTCTCTGCATGTCGACATCCAGCAGTTATTATGCTATTGAATGACAGTGGGCCAGAGCTAAAGTCTTCAAGGAGAAAAGGGGAGTGACCTGGGGTGTCTGGAGGTGACTGCAGTAGAGAGGGGTGGTGGTTCACAATATTGAGACTAAAAGCTAGAAGGATTATTTTTCCTGGGGATGGAAGCACAGGGGAGAGGAAGAAGAGCTTAGAAATAGTCATTAAGATCAAGGACACCTTCCCCACCTCGGGGGCCTGTAGTATAAGAGCTGTGGCAAAGGAAATAGTTACCATCTGGGGGTTGCAGGAAAAGAAGCAGCACTATCTTCAGGGGAAACCAGGTTTCAGTTAGAACAAGTTGATGAGTAAAATATATCATGAATTTAGGAAATTTGCTGATGGCTATGATTTCCAAGGGGCCCAGTGGAAGAGATTAAGGAATCTGGGTTGGGGGCGGTGGGAGCATTTAAGAGATGAGGTTATAAACAAACATGTAAAAAGTGACTGAGGATGAGAGTCCAGGAAGTGATAGATGCTCTGGAGCCCATCTTGTGGCAACCGAAGTAAGCAAGAATAAAGGGCGTAAGGAAAAAGGATTATTGATGGCTCAAGGTAGATAGTGGTGTTGAAGTTATGAATATTGATAAAGAAAGGAAAGAAGAGGTTCTTACAAGGAACCCACAGACTTCTGAGACCCCCTTTATTTCCAGAGGCTCTCTGCCTTCATCCTCACCCCTGCTAGTGGAAGCATGAGGCAGAAAGGGTAGGCTCCAGAACACTTAGAGCTCCCCTTCCTGATTCATGTGGCTATAAAGTGGAGGGGACTAATCTTTGTGGCCAGGAAGCCATGCAGATAATATACCTGTTCTATTGTCTCTTGCCATGTAACAAATTATCCCAAAACTCAGTGGCCTAAAATAGCATTTTCTATGAGTCAGGAATCCAAATAGATGTAACTTGTTGATACCTCTATCTTGATCTCTCCAAAGCTGCAGTTAAAAGTATTAGCAGGGGCTCAAATCATTTTGAGGCTCATCTGGGGGGTGCGGAGGGGTGGTCCTCTTCCAAGTTCACTCAGAAAGTTGTTGGCAGGATTTGGTTACACACAGCTTACTGGGCTGAGGGCTTCAGTTCTTCATTGACTGTTGGCCAAAGGCCTCCCTTGGTTGCTTGCCACATGAGTCTCTCCATAAGGCAACTCAAACATGGCAGCTGGCTTCATTAGCAAGAGAGAGAATGCTAGCAACACAGAAGTCAGTCTTTTGTTATCCCATCACTTTTGCCTCATTCTGTTTATTAGAAGCAAGTCACAAGGTCCAGCCCACACTCAAAGGGAGGGTATTACCCAAGGGTATGAATACCAGGAGGCAGCCATCATTGAGATCCATGTCAGAAAGCTGCCCATCCCTGAACCAACCACTGATAACAAGGGGATTAGAACTGGCTCAGACCAGTCAGGTTCTCCCCATCCCTGGAGCTGGAGTCAAGTCCCCAAATCACAAGGCTATCACATAATTGTGGGGAGGAGCAGAGGATAGAATAAATGTTGGGAGGATAGCCAGAGAGTTCACTGTAACCACTAACCAATATTCATACCTTTATTCTTCTGACTCTGGAACTATTGTTCTTCCTGCCATATAGTGCTGCCTCCTTATGTCTTGCCATTGCCCGCTAGATCAAGCCCAGACTCCTTATTTCAGCATATAATGGCCTTCACACTCCAACCCCAATTTATCTTTTCAGCCTCATTTCTCACCGTTCACTCTCATTTATTCTAAGCCAGTGGTTCATCAAGCTGGCTCAGGACCCCTTTAATACTCTTAAAAGTTATTGAGGGCCCCAAAGAGTTTTTGATATAGCTATTGATATTTACTTAATTAGAAATAAAAACAAAATTTTAAGATACTAATTTCCTTTAAAATAATAATAAACCCATTACTTAGTATAAATAACACGTTTTTGTGAAAAGTGCATTTTCCCCAAAATTTTTTGAGAAAAATGGCACGGTTTTACATTTTTAAAAATCTCTTTAATGTCTGCTTTAATAGAAGACATCAGGCAGGATTCTCATATCTGCTTCTGGATTCAGTCTGTTGTGATGTTATTCTGGTTGAAGTATAGGAAGAAAATGTGGTCTTACATAAACATGTAGTTGAGAAGTGGAGTTATGCGTATTTTAATAGTCTTTTCATATCATTGTGTGTATTCTCTGATATTACACCAATTCTGTAAGTGGTAATTTCTCAGAGGTTAGTTGCAGTGTGGAACTGAACCCTTTGTATTCTGTTTGGTTAAAATCCATTGGACTGTCTGGCACTTTGAATAGCTTTCACACATTTGGAAAATCTTTGTTCCCTGAGTTATTCAAGTTTTCCAAATATTTCATTATGAAATCTTTTTAGTCACATTTTAAATATCACTGCCTGTCTTGTCAGAAGAATCTACGTTTTGGGAAGCTGTTGGTTGTGGAGGATTTAAGTTTCTAGAATTCTAATTTTCACTTAAAAGCTCAGATTTTATCATTGGTGACAAATACTGCCATTTTCCTTGAAATAATAGGCTTATTTCATTTATTTTTGACAAAGTGCCAAATGCCCAAGTCTGAATAACCGTAGTTCATCTGTCATCATTTTTTGCAGTAAAACTGGTGCTCCATAAAATGATCCTATGGAAAAAAAAAAAAAGATCCTATGACTTCACCTGCCTCATAACTTCTGCTTACTATGTTCTGGGTGTCCTTCAGCTTCACTGCCACCCTGCAGCCTTTCAATGTGCCTCATATTCAAATGCCTCAAGAGAGAATCTGATTGGATTAGCCAGCCATTATCCAGTATAGAAGTGGTGTGGCGCTGAGCATGGCAACCAGCGCGTTAAGGAACAAATTCTGGCTGCTTACGTGGAGGAGACTTCTAGTCTAGCAAATACTCAGAACAGTGTGTCCAGGACATTCACCATTATGAATTAACAAGATATATTTTCACACACAGGCGCACAGAGTGTGATTATGGTATGAGAAGTTAAAAAAATCAGATTTATAATTTGGTTTTATAAGTACTCATTTGATAGCACCTTGTTTAAAGACCCCGCCCCCCAAAAAGCACGTCCTTAAAGTTATAGTCACATTTTGCTACCACTTGCACTTTGTTTGGAGCACGAATAATATTCTGAGGCTGCCATCAGACCATCTGTTCCAAATATACTCTTCAACATGGATTGAGTAGTTGTTACTATGAATTTTCTACCAATGTAAACATAGAATGTATTGCCTTTCACATTAATATTAATAAAAAGACATTGTTACAAAGAATTTTCTTTGGTCGATTAACAATTTTTCATTGTTTTAATGGGTGTCTTCCTCCTTCACAAGGGAGGAAAATCCTCTAAAGTCTGTGAGTATAATCTTATTTCTAGTGTTTTTCTTTGTTAGGAGTCACGAGGCTCTGAATCTTGCAAGTTCACAGATTTTAAATGTAATTTTTATTTAAGATTAGCTTTCTCATTTTGGTAGGAACAAAGAAGGCTAAGAAATGTACTTCTGCCATCTTGAGTGGATGGTAGGTTTAGTAACTTTTCCTATTTGAAGGTTCTGGAATTATTTGTATATTGTATTCTGTACGGTACAGGATAGATTTTGGCTGCATAAGTGAAAACATACCCATGAGTGAGCACATGTATGCTTACAAACAAGTTCATTCACTCAGTGAAGTAAAGAGCTGAAGCAGGCTGTTTTTAGAAAAAATATTGGGGGCCCGAGTTCCCTTTTTCATTCATCTCATGAGAACATTACTAAGGGGTTTAATGTATTTGGGATAATGATGAAGAAAACAAAAATAGCATCCCTGTGGGGAAATGTAACCTGATACAATTTAAAGTGGGACCAAAATTGAAACATAATTCTTTTAGGAAACGGAAATATTTTATCTTTGTCACATGGATGTAATCTAAATTTTAACAGAAATCTAGGCTTCCGTTCTTTTTGTACATCTTGATTTTATTAACTTTTGTATTTCTTTGAGCCATATGTCACAAGTAAGTTGTAAATATTATACAGAATAATCTGCATACTCTTCAAATACTTTTTTTTTTTTTTTTTTTTTGCGGTATGCGGGCCCCTCACTGTTGTGGCCTCTCCCATTGCGGAGCACAGGCTCCGGACGCGCAGGCTCAGCAGCCATGGCTCACGGGCCCAGCCATTCCGCGGCATGTGGGATCCTCCTGGACCGGGGCACGAACCCGTGTCCCCTGCATCGGCAGGCGGACTCTCAACCACTGCGCCACCAGGGAAGCCCCCCCTTTTTTTTTTTTCTTAATGGAACACTAAAAATGCCCTAGTCATTCCTTTAGCTTTTTGCACTAATAGGTATAAAGCAGAGCCTCAGGGGCTGTTCTTGCTAAGTATTGTTAATGCTGCAGTGTCGGTTGGAATCTCAGAAAACCCAGTTATATACTATAAAGGTGTGGCTAGCTTTTATTCTTAATATCCAAAATCATCTAAAGGCTTGTTTTCTTTCTTTTTTTTTCAGACCTAACTACCATAATGAATGCTGCATATTAAGAAAACCACAAGAAGGTTATACGTTTGGTTGTCTAATATTCTTGGATTTGATATGAACCAACACATAGTCCTTGTTGTCATTGACAGAACCCCAGTTTGTATGTACATTATTCACATTCCTCTCTGTTGTGTTTGGGGGAAAAAAGACATTTTAGCCTTTTTTAAGGTTATTGATTTAATTTCATGTTATTTGGTTGCATGAAGTTGCCCTTAACCACTAAGGATTATCCAGATTTTTGCACAAGCTTATACAAGTCTAGGATCCTTTATCAAGGCAGTTATGTTCATCAGTCTCCTGCCTTTACTCCACCATCACCAAACACTCAGTTAAATATAAATTAGCATTTTTTAAAATGACCACTCAACATAATGCTTAAGGGATTTCCTCTCTGTGACAGAACCCAGGAACCAATTCCTAGATACACAATGTTGGCATATTGAAGATAAACTTAAAATTGTTCTTCAGTTTTGAGGCCATGTGTAAAGTTTAATCATATTGTAAAATATCTATTCCGTATTAGAAATAGCTAGTTGACAGCTTATACTTCTCAAAACTCATGTTGTTAACGTACACAGACTCAGTTTCTATATGTGAAGTTAGTGAGTCTTTTGTGTTACTCCAAAATAAAGGCAATGATTTATTTTTTCCCAATCTCAATACAATTTGAGCTAATCACTCAAGCTGGATTCTTTACATTTTAAAGCTGGAATCAGCAGTAGCCCTATGGGAAGTAAGACAAAGCATTGACTTTTAAATATAGACTTTTAAAATGATCGGTTGTTTTCTTTTGGAACTAGAATTAGAATAGTTAATACTCATCCACAAACCATTATTATGTGTACATTATTGTTGCAATTGTGATAACAGAAAATTTTATTTATTTTTATGCCAGCTTATATTGTGAGAACACATTTAGTCAGTTTGGGTTTTATCAGTCCTGTTATGCTTGTCCTTGGAACATCTTTCGCGTATTCGAGGTTTGTAGTTGAAAAGTTTACTGTAAAAAAAAAAATCAAAAACAAAAAAATGTATTGTTTTTACAGAATAAATTTATTGGAATGTGTACTGGGAGTAAGGTTTGAGGTTGTAAACAACTAAGTTAGTGTAATTTGGCTTCATATATGTAATGTGAGGTATTAATGTAATTATATTAAAGCAAAAATTGTTAACAGCAAGTTGACAATAGAATCAAGTGCAGGTGAGGGTTTTCTTTTTTTTTTAAACACTCTATGGATTTTAGGGTTTTTTTTAAACACTGTGGGGAGGGAGAGGAACTGGCTACGTGATTGCTTGCACGTCTAAGATACTTACCAGTTCAGTGGACCCTAAATTCACACACTTGACATTATCCATGCAGTGATTTGGACCCCATTTTCTTTTGGTTTTCTTATTTTGGTGAAGAGCTTGTAAATAACATGAAGGAAAAACATCAGTGGCCCTAAAAGCTTAGGGCCATTGATGATGATGATGGTAGTGGTGGTGGTGGTGGTGATGATGGCAGCTGAGGGCATGAAAGCGCCACTTACCACTCCCGGGCTCTGAGGCGGCGGCTGGATTTTTGCTTTGTTTCTCTGACTTTTAGCAAATATTGATTTTCCTCTATTATACTCACTCACATTTCCAAATATGAAAAGTTCATTAAAAGATAGTAGGAATGCCAGTCCACTTCTTTTTCCTTAAAAGGTACTTTTTAATTTTGAATATTTTAATTTAAAAGTAATGAAATTTAATTAATTCATGAAAAGTCCTCTTCATTGCTCACACTAAAACATGAGAATGTAGATGACATTTTGAACTGGAAATATAGCTGACAGATTTTTAAAACAAAAGGCGTAAAGACTACAGAACTTTTTCTGAAAAAAAATATACAAAATGTTTCAAATTTAGTAAGATTTGTCTTCATAAAAGACCAAAAATAATTTATTAAAAATATACACAGAAATACAATAGAAACATTTCCAGTCATCAATAAAATAAGGGTAATGATAAAGTTATAGATCCCTCCTTAGCTACTTAGACTCACAGAAAAATTTCAGTAAAAGCAATTTTTGAAACAGCAGTAAATAATATACTTTCCTTGGGAAAACATTTTTCAAACAACATTTTTAAATATTCTGATAATTTGTCTTTTATATTGAGGTTGATAATGAAACATATAGATCTTATATGCAAAAATATTTCTCCATCTGTATTTGCTACTTTGAAATTTTTAATATGCATAGACCATTTTCACTTTTGAACAGTTTCCTTTTCATGCTCACTATTATAGGAGCTAAATTGTAATTTTTCACTTATATTTAAAGTGTGCAAACAGAATATTGAGATAGGTGGTCAAGTTTATTCACAAATAACTTGAAATATATTTCTTTAAACAAGCTTTCTGAATAACTTCAATTTTCCTTCAAAAAAAGAAAATTTATCCACATAATTCCTATGATAGCTCACATATACAGTACGGAGCAAGAATTTATGTATTCTTAAATGTTCCTGTATGGGAAGAGAGTGGAATGGGACCAAATATTGGTACCAAAATAACAAAAGTCAGTAATCTAGAGAGAAAGAACATTAAATAATGCTTTTATTCAACTTTTTCATCTGCCTTTGTTTTTATGAAGAACTCTGGTTTGTAGATACAGCGATAGGCCAAGAGCTGAGGAAGAACTCCATATGCTATGTTTAATGCTAAAAAAAGGATTTTCGCTTCTTCAGGGACTCTGTAGACATAAGCAGTTCTAGCATGAAGAGAAGCACCGATGTGAGAAAACTGAGCCTGTGGCATTAAAAAAAGGGGGGGGGTGGTAAGCATGAATTTTGTGTTTAGTTGGATGCACGATGAGTTCTGAATGGTTCATTCAGACCATGCTCCTGTGCCCTCAAAACCAGGACTTGCAAACAATCCATCGTCTTCAGTATTTCATTGAATTTAGGGCTATTCTTGACTTAACTTTTCAAATAAAGTAAACCTTTAGCACGTCTTTATCAGGCTAGCTGTTTTTTAACGCATCTAGTACCCCCATACCAAACAGTAGTGGCTCAATTTGACAAAAAATCTGAATAAAATCTGCTTTTTCCTGATTTACCTTCTGGAGATATCCTATATAGGAACTCAGTTGTGGCTCACAAAATGTGTTCCAATTAAAATGAAGCAAGTACAGAGTTTAGACAGCTTAAAATATTTTTAGCCTAACTATTTAAAGAGAAGCACTGAGAGAGGGCCTCAGCTTCATTTATCAGTTCTTTCACCTACTCCTTGGAGCAAGAGCTCAAAGCCTTCATTATGCATTTGTCTGTTTATTTATTCACATATTTGTTTTTTTATGCAACTTAAAAAATACTAAGGGTTGTTTTGTAAGATAAGGGTGGGCGTAGGGATTTGGTTGCTCTTTATAAAATGGCAAATATACATGCAGGCAACCTTTTCAAATCAAATTATTTAGAAGTATGGCTTGTCAGCATAATTTGAGTTTACAAAACAGAAAGGCAAGAGCTTCCCATTTGTACTTAGATTACTTGTTGAGAACATACATTCAGAATGTGCCAGTTGGCCTTTTTTGATACTTTTCGTAAGCACAGGGGAATCTATTAGAAAAGCCTTCTGTGAAAGTATTTCCTCAGGATCCTTGTATCATTACAGAATGCAGTCCTGGAGTCTGCATTTCATATCTTACTGAAATTCAAGATATACACAAAGGATTGGGAATCTAAATGTAGTAAGTGGTGACTTAGTTCATCAGGATCAAAGTGAAGAGACAGAAGATACTATAATCTAAAGAAGGCACAGAAGTAACAAGAATGAAAACTAAATAATTTGCTTTAAATACATATGAGTTATCTTACATTTCCTTCCATATGAAATCAGTTTATTCTGCTAAGTGGTTAACACAGATAAAAGTGTTACTTAGCACTTGACTTTACTATGATGAGCAAAAGACAAGTTTTCATAAGCAGTATGTATACAGATTGTATCAGTGACAGATTTTAACAGGTTACATTTTTGCAAGTTACTGATACATTCTGGGGGCCTCTGGTAGTTTTGCTGCTTTCTGGAGATAGAAATTAAATTAGTGTGGTGTGTTGCCAAGGACCCAGGGACCAACGCCAATGCCAACGCAGGAATCGTCTGTCTGCATTGTGATCTGTGAGGCACTGAGAGGGCTCTGCCCTCAAACACACCTCCCCCGGGGCACATGCCCAAACAGAACCCAGCAAACGTTAAATATTTCATCTCTGGGCTATGAAGACAAAACACCTTGAGAGTAAAGGGCATTTGAGAGGCTGCCCTGAGGAGCTGCTCTTGTGGACATTCTAGGAACACTGAACAGGAACTTGGCCCCTGTCACTATTTTCTTCTAGGGCCTATTTTGAATAACAGTATTTTTCTGAATATTGTAACTAAATTTTTTCTTCTGGACTAGAGGCCAGATTTGAACCATGGTTTTAAGAAATGTGCATTTGGTGTCTATCTTTATAGACACTTATACACATCTCAAAAATCACCAAATTTGGGGAAATGCGGACCATAGTTTGAGAGAATAATATGAGCAATCATGCCTACTTGCATAGGGAACCTGCTAAAGAGTCTGATTTCGTAGGCTTTTTTGCTGCACTAACCGGTGCAGTTAATACCTCATTTTCACAAACAGCAAACTCATGGCAACATTAAAAAATGATCGTGTCCTTAGATTAGATTGTAAGCCCACCGGGCAGGTACTGTGTCTGATGTTTTGTGTGGCACCTATCACATTTTTAGAGCTCAATAAACGTTCAACAGTAATGGTCTTGTGACTGTCAAAATACAAAAAAGCTTCTACAAAGCATTTCTCTATTTTTATACCTATTTTAGTAGGCCTTTTGCTTCAAAATTGTTTAACAAGGGGCAAAGATGATTGCATTTCTAATCAAAAGAGGTATGTAATTGAGAGAAAGAGCCTGAGGCCAATTTTCTGCAGTTCCAGTACTGCTCATGGTTCTAATGGGTGTATTTATAGTGGCCTCACCTCTAGCTGAGTGAGCAATCCAACCATAGCTTCCTCCCAAGACATATGGTGTCCAGTTTCCAGGGTGCTGAAGTTTCAGAAAACCCTCAGTCTCACTTGAGAAGGGTTTCCTTCCCAAGCACATAGCTGCTAAGGGGCTGCACCGTGTCTCCTGGGTGATTTTCCCACCAGCACGTGAGACCTCCTTATGACAGGGCTGAAGAGCTCAGCATGAGCACTGTGCTAGTAGGATCTGGTGGCTTGGTGACCTCAGTGCTGCTGAACTGACACATGGCCAAGATTACATGTTCAAGTTATGGGTCCCAGAAATTTCTCCAAAATTCAGTGATGTGAGGTCGAGCCCCTAATAATTTTTCTTCTACTTCATTCTAAATCATTTTTCACCTTAAATTTAGTTAAGAGATTTACTTTGGGTTTTTTTTTTTTTTAAGAATGGATGGTTGGGATGGAAAATGAGGCAATAAAGTCAAAGAAAAAGGTTAAATTTTAATAGCTGTGTTTTCCTATAGAGACAGCCTGGAAAGAATTTGACTAAAAATCACAATCTTGGTTCCAGAAAGGAGAATTGAAAGAGTTTTGTGTGTCCACATAAATATTATAGGCAAAAACTAATGTGAACATTGGGACAGTAGCCAGGTTATTTGGCTGATATGGTATAAATAGCTAATCTAGAACCGTGTTACCATTTCTTAGGGTTTTCTGAGCGCCATAGTCTTGTGGTTAAGAACACTGAATCTGGAACCAGATTGACAGCGTCAAATCCCAGCTTCACCGAAAACCAGCAATATGACCTTGTGTTAGGTATGTAACTACCTCTGGCTCCTCACCTGAAAAGCAGGAGTCCACCTCATAGGATTGTTACACAGGTTCAATGAGTTGATCTTTGTCAAGTGCTTAGGACAGTGCCAAGCACATGGAGCTCTTCCACAGACAGATACAAAACCCAAGTGAAATGCTTGCTCATGATCTGGTACTCTACTTGCTTGAAAACCGGGGCCCTTTGTTTTTAGATTCCCTTGCTGATCTTTTGACAATTTCAAGACTGTCTCCACCAAAGGATAACAAGCATGTAAAAAGACATTAAACCCAAGCTCTAGTTTTAATACTAAAAAAGATGTTTAGTGATGAATCACATCAGAAGCAAATGATTAAAATGAGATTTGCTTTAGTATCCCAATTATCCATGTTCTTCCTAAACCTTTACTTTCAGGTTTTCTTAAAGGCTTCCATAAAGGAAAAAACTTAATAAAACTTGTCCCCCAGTAGAGTCAACTCTTGACAACCAAATTATCCACAGATGAGCCTCCAGACCCTTTTGTGAGAAAGTATGTGGCACCTGCATAGCCAGGGGGTGGGAGAGTCTGAGGCAGCAGGTGGGAAGGGGCACTGGCATTGCCTGACTGAAGTGGAACTGCTCCTGCTTCCATGGCTGCGAGCTGTTAATTGGATGGCATGGCAGGCTCCCTGCCAAACCCACTGTGAATCTGTCCCAGAGCTTTCTTCCAGTTTCTCTGATTTTTAGGTAATTATACACAACACACAGCTACAGATTAATGTATCTTCTGAGCAACATAAGGCATTTCTCCTCCGAACTCTTACTGGGAAGCTTCTAACAACAACATTAACAAAAGCAACAAAGAGGCCCACAGCTTATAATGTGCCAGGCACTGCTCTACGCCCTTTACACATATTACCTCATAAAATCCTTAACAGCAGCTCTATGAGAAAGGTACTATTATTATTCTTACTTTATAGAAGAGGAAACGGGATCAAAGAGGTGAGTGACCAAGGTCACTGAAGTGATCAGTGAATGAGATTCGAACCAGTCTGCCTCCAGAGCTCATGGTCTTAACCATATTAACTATATCTTTTCTTTTAATTTTCAGTGATATTTTAGCAGAGAAAAATTCTTCAATTGATTAAAAAATGCTAACAAGTAGATCTAAATAGCCTGTAATACTTTTCAAATTAGACTTGAAACTTTAATTTTATATGAAAAGACCCTTGGGTTAAAGTCCCCAGTGGAACTCTTCGGTGTAAAATGTGTCCTGGTTTTATTGCATTTTAGTTTACCTTTTGATTTATCTTTTGATTTCTGAAGGCAGCAGGTTTGGCAGATTCCTAAATGGTCTGAAATGAGGGACCTAATAACTACTAACCATGTTTTCCATTGACTTGTACTGGTCAAGAAGTTTTTCAAGGATTTTTTTCTTATTATTAAGTCACAGGTTCTTGGGAGTTCACTAGATCTTACAATAAAAGCATTGATAAAGTTAGTGGGATCATGAATACATAAAGCTTCTAAATTAGGAATGGCAGTTTTAGAAAGCTTGGGGTGCTAATCAAGGTAATGGAGAGCTTCTATGATGAATGTGTCCGATATCCTCTCAAGATGAGAATTCATTTCGTGAGCAAGTATTCGCTTCATATGCACTGTTTTGTTGCAGTATGATCTGTAACTTTTCCTTAGGCTGAACACTCTGAATAGGTAGATATTAAAGCCCAGCTAAGAGTTATGGGAATGTCAGACACATAATTCTCAGATTACACCATTCTTCTGTTGGGTTGGGAGAAACATCCTTCTGACATTGATAGAATCTAGTTGACAGCCTCAGGCTACCTTTGCAAATTGGGCAGTGATGGATGAGACCAGAGATTTCTTCAAGGCCTGGTGTATGGCTGAAACTGCCACTACTGCTGCCAGCCGCTCTGCTATCCACACTGCCTTTCCCAGAACCTCCTGGCTGGAGTCACAGGTGCCTGTCTGCAAGCTTAGCCTCACCAGCAGGTACAGGGTAGGGTTCATCTTACTGTTACAGATTTAAGTACCCATTCGCCCCCAAGCTCTGACCATCCTAAGCCTCCTGACTCTGCTGACCCTGTGCACATGGCTAGGCCCTGGCCTAGGTCTTCTGCCTAGTTCTCAAGTTGTCTCCTGAGACTTGACCAGGTCCAACACTTGGCCTCACTCTTGCCAGCCTCCTAGCTGATGACACTCGGTGTTCCTGCATCAGGGCCTGGTGCGGGGCAGACCAAGGTACATGGCATGCAGAGGAAGCTGGATTGTGCAGGCAGAGCACACGGGTAATGAGTAGATGTTGAACCCTGAACAATCTAATCAAGGGGCTGGTAAGAGTGGGGCGAGTGGGAGGCCCTCTGTACCCTCTAACCAGGGCACACTCCAACATCTAAACGCTTCCGCAGTCTTTTGAAGTCTATTCAGCCAGTAAAGCCCACAGCTCAGGTGTCATTGCCTCCCACTCCCAGAAGGTCCTCTAACTCCTACATGCCACGTACAAAGTCTTACTCTGCTGTAGGATTCTGGAGCATAGTTAGTTGTTTGCATGAGGAGAGGGATAACACAACAGAGAAGAATATGGGCTTTGGAGTCAGGTGGGATTTTATATCCCTCTTCTAGTAACTTTGTGACCTTAGGCAAGTAACTACCCTGGGTCTCGGCCTGCTTATCTTTAAGTGAGGCTTTTGAAAAACTTGCAGAGATGATGCTATGTGTTCACACAGTTTCTTCTGAGGCAGACAGGAAGACCACATGTATCAGCCTCCTCTGCAGTTGGGTCGGTGCCAGGCCTGACTTTTGAAAATATCCCACATGATCTTTGCACAAGCAATAAATAAAACTTTATTTTTAACCACTGGGTATTTGCTACTCCAGCAGAGCACACAGCCTGTCTGTCTTTACACAAATAGGTAAGTAAAACACTTAGCATGGCTTGCCTTGCATGAAGTAAGGTAATGAGAGCTCAGACTATCGTAGTGGCAGTGGAGCTGTAAAAAAGTGGTGGATTTGCAAATTAGTCTGGTGAGAGAACTAACCCGACCTAGTGATGGGCTACATGTAGACGGTAAGGGAATGGGAAGCGTAAAGAACTACTCCATATTTTTGACTTGAGCTGCTGGATGCCAGGATTTTCAGAGATGGGGAGATGAAAGAGAAGTTGTGGGGCGGATCAGGAGTCCTATTTTAGACATTAAATCTGAGATGTCAGTAAGACACCCAAGTGAAAAGAAGGAGTTCGGAATTAAATATAAGAGTCTGGGAACAGTTTGAGCTAAAGATGGGAAATGAAAAGTCATCACCTTATAGTTGGTATTGAAAGATATGGAAATAAAGACCCACACCAAGGCCTGAGAAATAAGGTATTCAGAGGTCTGCAGAGGGTACATACTAATTCTCTTTCCTTATGTCCTTCAAGGAAAGGACAGGAACCACTACTTCTGAATACTGCATCAACTTTTTTTGATATTTATATTCTAATTCTATAGTTAAGAAGAAGTACCTCAGACTGCAAAGATTGAGCCCCGTGTATTAACCCATAAATGCTGTTACTGGTTTTAAACCCTGTAAATTCTAGTGTGTCTTTTTGCCATCATAATTATACCGTAAGTATAATTAACTGTATATGCCTAGAGTTCCTGGATGAACCTCATTTTTATGCCTGCTTAAAAAGAGCGGGACAAAGATAATGATTTTAAAAGATGAGTTCACTTGGGTTTTCTAATTTACAGTAAGAAAAGAACAAAATAATTTTCTTCCTTGTTCATAAGATCAATTTGTTTTGATAGGTTGTTATCTTATAAAAATGTGCTTTGAATGATAATTCCATAGATAATTTCATTCCCAGTTCAATGAAGTAAGCATTCACTGAACATCTACTGTAGGCCAGAGGCTTGGCTAAGTAGCAGAGGGGAGGAATGGGATGACAGGCCCAGCTTCCCAGGAGCAGAACTTTTTTAAAACCGGTTTCCCTGGTCCTGTGTAGCACAATACAGTGAACTTGTGAAATCTTAAATTCAGATAGACATCTTAATGATAACAGCTCTCAATTCTCTTTTAGTAGCTGTGGTGTTCAGAGACTGGGAAACAGCAGTGCCGCTTGCTGGGTATGTGACCTTGAACAAATCATTTAACCTTGCTGGGCCTCAGTTTCCTCATCTGTATAACTGAATGGCGCACCTACCAGATTATGAGATTTAAATAATGCAGAAATGTCTTCCAAAGAACTGTAAAGCAAAGGGCACAACATATCTAATAACTGTTCCCAACCCTAAAACACAGAGCAGAGATATTTTTTAGACACTCAACAATGACAGCCACATCCCCAATAAACTTTCTTAACAGCATATTCTTAGTACCTGAGCTAGACCTCCAGCATGTATCAGTGTTATGTCAGGCATCCAGGAGCATCCAGGAACCACCAAGCCATAGAGCGCCATCACAAAGTAAGGGACGGAATAGAACAGATACGCCAGCATCTACATTGAACAGGGAAATAACGTCATCAGTAAACTAATAGTCTGGCCTTACGAAAAGCACAACATTTTCATCAATTAACATTTTTGCCTTAGAAAACGTTAACTCCTATTTCCTACATGGTATCACATTTTCCCATTCTTAAAAAAAAAAAGAAAATTAATTTTAGAAAAATCTTAGGCTTCATAACTACTTGACCTGGATTTTAGCATAAGCAGCAGGATCCTTTAGGTAGGGCTCTTGAAATTGCGTATATAATCGGCAGAGCTCAGCTGGGCAATCCAAAGCAATCTACGAACAAAAATGAATGCATTATAAAGATACAGTCACATCTGGTTCTTATGTTTGCTGATAAGGCTAAACGTGCCAGGTTTAGTCACAAGCTGCTTTCTGTTTAACAAAAGCTATTTTAGAAGCTCATCAGTAAAAAGGGAAAGAAAATAAATATTCTACAGATTTACTCTGAAGAGATTAAGTAGAGGTTAATAGTGGAGAAGGAAATGGAAACTAATGCCCTGTTCTTGGGATCTTCCGAGTATTCAGTTTAAATGTCTAGGTTTGGCTAACCAAAGCACAGCTTGCTTTAGATCATCAGTTTCACTTTTCCTGGGAATAACTCACCAACTATTCCCGGCAGGAAGAAAAGTACATTTCTATACCAAATTCATCTTAACTGTGCTTTGCAAGATTCAGAAATAGCATCCTCCTATCTCCAGTGCCTCACAGAGTAAATGGCCTTTGGGGGCAGTAAAGGATAATGATTTGAAAGTGAGGTCCTCCCTGAAGCCACCTCCTATATCCACTTTGAAAGAGGGCAGAGCAGATTTAGTCACGGCAGAGTAGACTTTAGGCCACAGAACAGACAAAGTGTCTCTCTGGCACATTACTGGGTCCCCTCTGAGTCACCTCCCTCAGGTACCATTCCTTGTGTCCTTAACCATAAATGTTGTCCCGCCTAAATAACATGAACACGTCAGTGGCAGAGTTGGTAAAAATGGGCCCCAACCTAAAAGCCCCACCTACCAAAGGGTACACACTCGCCCATGCACACGTTTTTCTCATGTGCACAGGGGAGTGGAGATGGCTATGCAAGAAAACAGTTGGGGCTCATTTTTATTGTTGCTGTTTTTGTTCTTTTGACGTTAGGAATTACAGCAAACTAAACAAAGAATGGTTTCAGTGCTCTGTGGTCCGAGCACAGCCTATGGCCCTGCTTTCTCCTTTACTTCCCTTCCCCATGCCACTCCTATTAGCCAACTCTGCTCCAGGAAGTTTCTGATGATCCAAAGAGGGAGACAGCTCTTAAGGCTACTCACCCTGACCCAGCTAGCTGCCCCAAAACAATGAATCAGCTGCATCAGTTTACACTTGCCACTCTGCCCCCCAACTGCTGTGCAATGCCAGCAGCCTTAGAACAGTAATTGTCATTAAAGCTGAATATAATTACCCGTATAATTCTGGCTGCTCAAATTTATTGCTACTGAGAATAAACCATGCAACTGGGATATTGTGAAGGATCCTCGATCAATAAAAATAGTAAGAGCAATCACTTACTGAGCGCTTATTAGGTATAAGGCCCTCTCATTTAATCTTCAAACAGTACTGTAAGGTAGGTACTGTTATTTTACAGAGGAAGAAACTGAGGATCAAAGAGGGTAAGTGGTTTTTCCAAGGCCACACAGCTAGTAAATGGCCAGGAGTCTAACACTGTACTCTGGTACCCCTTCCTCAATCCCATCTCCCTACTCCTGAGAACACATGGATGCTCTGTGCCACAGTCTGACTAGTCTTAAGTTACCACCCTTACCAAAGATACTCAAATCAGAAACGTCAAAGGAACCAAGAGAATGAGACTCATGGCTAATTTTTCAGGTACAGAGCTTGATCCAAGGACCTGAAGGAGGTGGTATGGAGCAGCCCAGAAGGGACCTACCCCTCTGGGAGGAGAGGTCTGGGGTGAGGGTAGGAGAGTCAGGAAGCAGGTCCAGGCCTCCAGGCTCTAATGGGAGGTATGTTTTGTTAGTGCACTAGGAAATCTGATTAAAAATATACTTTATGTTATTATGATCTCTTATGCTTACCAAGCCTCTAAACAGGCAAAATCCAGTTGCCAGAAGGAGACACACAACCAACATTAAATCACATGGTCTTCTCAGCAGATCTTTCGCTTGGATTTCTTGAATGACCTAAAGTAGAGTTGGTAACTAATGAGCAGGCCCAAGGTGCCAAAGAATAATCTGAGATCTACTGAAACACAGATACAATGACGATGGGTGATAAGAGAACGTTGAGGATTCAAAACCACTAGCCATGCAACAGGAAAATAATTTCTCCCCTCAAGTCTCAGTTCCTCATCTGTGAAATGAGACTGGGCGAGGTGATCTCAAAGGGCCCTTCTGGCTCTATGAGGCCATATTTTTTTTGAAAAAGCATTTTTATGATTATAAATGTAAAATATATTCATTTTTAAAAAATAAACCATTAACCCATCATACTTCTATTAACAGTTGTTATATTTTCCAGTCACATATATATAGTTATATATATAGATACACACACACACTGTACTACATATGTATGTATGATGTATAATCTACATCTATTTTTTCACAAAATTAGGACATAATGTATAAACAATTTTGCATTTGTTCTCTTGCCTCTCACTATCTACCTATCAGTACTTTATCACATTATTAAAAATTCTTCTGAAACAACATCACATGGAAGTGCCACATCTCTGATTATTGGACATTTAGGCATTTTCACTGTTACACTTAATGTGATGATGAGCAACTTTGTACATAAATCTTTGACAGCATCTCTGATGATTTTCTTAGGATAGTGCCCTAGAAGTAGAATTACTAGATTAAAAAGTTAGATTTGTTAAGGTTGATAACACTGCCAGGTGGCTTTGCAGAGCGATTCTGAATTTATGTTCCTACCAGCACTGTATGACAATGCCTATTTCTCCCCGGCCATCACTGTGTTTTAACAGTTTTTTTAAATGAACAGTCTATGTGTCTTACAACATGAACGGAACGGTGTTGATACACTGACGTGGAGCCGAGTGAGGACCAAGGCTATGGTTACTATTCGCTTATTTTTTAACAACCACCTCATTCCTCAAGAGGGTGTAAGGGAGTACCAGTTGTCAATGTGCCAAGCTGAGTTTACATAGCATGTGTCTAAATGTTTACAAATGAAGTGTCTGTAAATTAAAATGTATTTTAATGAATTCTATTGTAAGTCTTTTTGTAAAATGAAGAATCGTGTTCTGATTATCTCTAGTAACTCATATTTTCATATATCAATTTTGCTTAAAGGATCTTGCTTAAGGATCTAATACCTATGAAAGGAAGAGAAACTTAGAAAAATGTCACTAGCTTAGAAATGAAGACCTTAACAGAGTACCTGCCCGGCCAGTATTGTTTCACCTTGACCACCTCGGCTGTGAATGGAAGGGAGGTGTCTCAGAAGACGTCCTGTAGCCAGTCTCCATGTGCCTGGATCTCTTGGTAATCGGACCCTATGTCTGTGTGTGCTACCTGGAACAGCAGTATATCTCCAGCCTCCCTTTGGGGCAGTAGTGCATAGATATCTCTGAAAGAGGTACCCAGGTGCTCAGACTCCAGGCTGTTAACAGCCCCAGACAAACCTCACGCTCCACACACTAATGCGGAATCTGATGGGAAGAGCCAGTGCAACCTCTGGCACAGGAAGTTCCAAAAAGCATGGCCTGGCCAATCAAAGCAGATCTATTCACGCAGAAACAGACCATTCTGGCCACCGTAACTAAGGTGTGAACCAATGCTGCAGAATCAGCACAGTCACACTGATCGAATGCTCCAAAGGCTCCATCCCTGGAGGCATGGTTCAGTCCAGTATCCAGTGGATATGAGTGAGCCCTGCGAGTCTGAGAACAGGTTACATTTAACTTAATAAAATCACCTTTGAGGGATAATTATAATTTTCTGAGGGCTGATTATAGATTCTGAAACCAGCCCAGACAGGAAGACAAGTATATGGTATGCTTAAGAAAAAAGCAGGGCAAATGCGTGTTCCATACTTCCCTATTTAAAAAAGAGAAAAAAAGAGAAAGTCAAAAGTATATCCAAACACAACATGTAGAACACCTCCCCGTCTCAAGTCATCTAAAATTTTGATATAGGCCAGACAGTATTTTTAATGAGACCAAAAACAGGTCAATTTAAAATTATTAGGTGTTTATTAACAGGCATGCCCTATCTACAGTACTTTAAAAATAGACAATATAATAGCCTGATTTCTTGCATGCATAAATAACTCTTCTACATTAGCTTTCAAGAATCTTAATTTTCAAGTACATTTATCAAGTTCCCATGGTGTGTCAAGAGTTATATATAATACAAAGAGTTGTAGGAAATATTTTCACACTGAATGTAGCCACAAACACAATACTTACCCCACTAGATCCTTCTAAAAGTCAGGAAACACTGATATTAGATAGTCTAATTGTTCAGTGTACACTTCTGAAAACTGCTCAAAAGCATTTCTTAGAAGGTGAGATGGAAGGGAAAAGGAGTAATTCTGCAAAACAGCTTTTTTGGTATACTTGGAATTTCTTGGTTCTATTACAACCAAAATAGCTTCCCTATTTAAAAACAATTCCTATTGTTTCAGAAAAGGAAAATGAACTTTAAGATAAAGTTTCTTACCTACAATGTTTCCTGGCACAAAAACAACAATGCTCATAATAATAGATCCGACCCAATATAGGCCAATGGTTCTATAACTTTCCCTGTAATGAAAAAAATCCTGACTTAACACATTTGTCTTAGAATACTATTAGTATAAGATGCTCCACAATATTATCTTTGTTCTAACTAGTAAAGTACATGAGCCAAAATGTACTGAATCAAGAGCAATAAATCAAATACAAGGAACCCTGGTGATCAAACTGCATTTCCATATGTGATGTGCTGTAGAACCTCTTTGTGTCCTTTTGAATAGGAAATTATGCTTGCTACACTGATCTATTAAACCATACCATGGTCATCACTATCAAAGGAGTCCTGCATTTCACTATTACTTATGAAACTCACAGCATGAAAGTAAAAAGAAGGTTCACAGAAAATTGGATCCATATTTTAAACCATTATTAGTAGGATGTTAAGTGGACTTTCCCTGGTGTCACAGGATTTTAGCTAAAGCCCCAGAGATAAGTATAATAAGTGATACCTACCCCATGTTCTGAAGGAGCTGCTAGACACATACCCCTAATCTTAATAGGCAATGTTGACAAAAAGTGTTTGCAACTGATAACTGACAGTCACCTCCATAAGGGGCCATGAGAAATTCAAAAAGAGATTCTCTGACGGGAAAGAGAAGTGGAGAATACTGTGTGCTTCCTGCCCTGCCCTACCCCCCAAGCCACATGCATCAGATCCCAAGAGGCCCGTTCACAGTGACTGGGATTGTCAGCAGGGGGACAGACCAGAATCTTCCTCCCCAACTGGATGCTAACCGAACCATAGAAACACTGGCCCACTCCTGGCAGCAAGCAGAGCCTGAGCATTCTCAGAAATACCTGATGTGTTCCCTGGAGCTTGGGAACATTCATGAAGAGATGGGCCGGGGCGGGGGGGCGGGGGGGGCCTAGAAAAGTCCAGAAATTAGTTGGAACTGTCCTTGAGTGGATGACTGAGGGCATGGGAGGGGCACAGGACAGTTGGTCAAGCTGAGTTTCAACCTGGTGTGGGGCAAAATGCACGGCTTTCTCTAACCTGGAGCCAAGGGGAGGCCTGGGAAGGTAGCTGGGCTTGAGCCATCTTTTAAGGATCCCCACCCCAAAGGGCGTGCCTTCTGGGTTGCAGAGGCCCCAGCAGAAAGAAGCTGTGGGTGTACCACCATGGGCAGGAGAGTCACACAAATTCAGTCTGAGAGAGCATTGCTCATTTCAGGGACCAGTGTAATGCAGAGGTTCCTTCCTATGGTAGGGGTCTCCAAGAACCCACACATGTGCCCCACAAGACAGAGCCAGCATGTCATAACGGAGGCTACCAATTCCCAGAAAACAGCAATTGTCGTGTTAGACTCTGCCCCTCTTCCTTTAACCCATGTACATACACACATGCTCCCAGAGAAGCCAGCCGCAGAGCAAGCTGAGAAGGAATCAAGGGACAGACCACGCACCCCAGCCTCAAAGCAGGCCGCTAGGCCGCTAAGCTTCAGGGGTAAGCCTGAACTGGAGGGAAAGAGCTCTGAACTGATAGGAGTTTGAAGTTTTGAATTACTATGTGCTGGGCTTTAATTTCTGAAAATGAGACTGCTCTTATAAGAGAACATAATCAGAAAGTTAGGGGGTCTGCCCGAGCTGTCCATCATGGCAGAGGAGAAATCCAAAGGCATATGTTCGAAAGGCAGTGACACAAGGAAAAATAAAGCCATGTCTAACTTGTCTCCATAGACCCTAGATTCATGTCCATGTGTACCTGCCTGTGTCTGTGCCTCTATACATCCATTTTCCTTACCTACCCGCCTATCGATTGCTAAGGTAACAAAGGCACACCCACCAGGCGAACTGACTTACTCCCAGGCTATGGCTGCCACCATCACCAGATACATCAGATAATGAGCAGAGCCATCCCAGTAGCAGATCATGTGCCCATAGGCCGTGTTCAGATACGGTTCACCCTAAGGAAAGCATTAAACAGAAGTCCACTTTAAATATGACTCAGACACTTCAACACAGAACACCAGACCTGTATTGAAAGTAAAATAAAGCAGCAGGACATCTTCGTCTGCTAAAATGAAACTATTCTTAATCCCATACAATTACACAATTGGTAGAAACATGAAAATATACATTTACCCTGGAGCCGCCAGAACTAGGGTCTGCCACACGGAGTGGAATTAAGAGAATGCCTAGCCTATGCTAGGTCAACACAGGTGTGCACAGTGATGCAAAACTGATGGCGTTACAGGCAGTCCTGGCCGCATGATGAACTCACTGAGGCCAAGTCTAATCTGTGACTAAAGGTGTTTGGCTCTGGGCAGAAGGGGTGGCCAGGGAAGATCCTGCTGACCAGAGCCACTGGCTGACCTTCAAAATTCATCCTGACCCAGAGGCTTGCTGGGATGAGTGTGAGGAAGGCACGCCTTTCCCCCGCCTCTGTCCCCAGTGCAGGCACAGACCGGCAGGCACTATACTCAGAGCTTCACACCCAACCCCTCGTTCAGCCTTCCCAACAACACTATGGGATAGACACGATTGACTCCATTTTACAGATGAGCAAACAGAGGTTGGAAGAGGTTACCTGACCTGCCTAAGGTCACACAGCTAATTCCTAGCAGAAACTATACTACCAAGAAGAGCTATACTTCCGAGAAATTTTTAATTTTATAAACACAGATTATATGATGAACGACATTTCCCTTTCCCAGGTGCTTATGTTTCTAGGTGGCTACTGTACAATCACTGTCAAACTTGCCTAGGTTTTTAGTGTTATTCTGGCTCCAACTCACTTTCCTTTCTTCTTTCTCCCACATTTGTGATCTCCTGCCTTGTTTCAGATGTTTTCCTAAGATGCCTTAAATCCTTTCTACAACAAGGAACAGAGCAGATCAACCAGCCCATCAGTCAACCAACCAAGCAGGGGATTCTCTGAAGCTCTGCACTCCCCTGGGGCAAAGACTGCTCTCTGTCATCTTGCCTCAAAAATCACATCAAGTGAAAATCACAGAGGTGGAGGAAACAACGTGAGTCATACTTCAGTACCCATGCCTGGCCCACATCTTTTCTCTCTGACATGATTTGATTGGATAATACTATCCAAGTTCATGGTTTTAACCATTGATGCGTACACACCTGGCTCTCACGGCCAGTGCTGACCTCTCCTGGTGGCTTGATGGGTATCTTCAACTGTCTGGTCCGTGGGCCCTTCAAACTCACCTTACCTCCTTTAACTCATTGGCTTCCCCCTTCAACCAAGCCCCACCTGGCCTCTCTATTTTCATGGCGACACCATTCAACTTACCCAGGTCAAAACCACAGGGTCGTTGTTCATTCCTTGTTCTCTTATGCAGTCTGTTGGCAAGTCCTATCAATTTTACCTCTATAATGTCACCCCAGGCAACCCTCCCTCTCGTCATGGCCTAGTTCAAGCCCTCAGTGCCCCTCACTGGACCTTTCCCACATGGTCTTCCTACCTCTCTCCTCTCCTTCCGATTCACCTCACCGCTGCCCTGGCTCTTGACATGTCACTCTTCTGCTCAAAAACCTGCCAAAGCTACTGGTGGCTGCAAGACCAAGCCCCACCTCCTCTTATATGGCAGCCGGGTCCCTGAGCCTGGCCCTGCAGACCCTCCCACAGTTACACCCCAGCCCCCCATCTCATACCCTGTCTCACCACCCTCACCAGCTCAACCTCCAGGCCCTCTAGGCGGCTGCCTCCTTCCTGAAACCTCCCCGCTCTGGACTCAGTGGCCCTGCACTCTCCAGGCTTTCCTTCTGCCTCTTCGCCTGTCCCCTCACAGTCCACTTCAGAGGCTCCTGATCTTCTGGCCACGGTCTCCAAAGTTCCACCCTCGGCCCTCTCCTCTCTACCCTCTCCTTTCCTCTCAGACCTTCAGGTACCAACTATACTCTGATGGTCCTTGTTCTCCTCCCCGAGCTCAACAGCTGCAAAGCCCTGCCAGCTGGGACACCTGCCAGGATGTTCCTTACCCACCTCAAACTCCACACGTCCCCAGATGAACTAAGCATCATCCCTGCACACGTGTGCCCCAGGCTGGCAGTGGGGAGACGTATGCTGTTTCTCCTCTCTAAGCCTCCTTTTTTTTTTTTCTTTTTTGGCTGTGCCGTGCAGCTTGTGGGATCTTAGCTCCCCGACCAGGGCTGGAACCCACGCCCCCTGCAGTGGAAGCGCGGTCCTAACCACTGGACCGCCAGGGAAGTCCCTTCTCTCTAAGGCTTTGCCCACACTGTCTCTTCTCCTTGGCATGCCCTCCACCCCCTAGTCTATCTGGAAAACGTTTATCATCCACGGCCACTGCCATTTTTAAAAAAGCCGAGGGCAGCGTCACCAACTCGCTGAGGCTCCCCCGAGTGCTCCCAGAGTCAGTTCTTCCTCAGTGCGCGCTGCGCCTGGCGTGAGCCTCCGTCTCTGCGCCTAGGACCATGCCATCTCACTGCCACATTAGCTCCTGGAGGGAGAAAGCAGGTCTTGTGACCCCCACAGTCTGCTCACCGAAGATCTGTGGAACTGCATTTCCCCTTTTGTCCCTCTCCAGTTGAATAACACCAGCGTTCTTCCAAAAGCAGGAATCAGGACGGCACCTCAGCCCTTACTCTCCCCATTGTCCCCAACTCATCCCCGAGACCTACTCATTCCAGCCGCCCAAGTTCTCTGAAGTCCGTCCGTCCTTCTCTACTGTCCATGCTTGGCCTCCGTCTGGGCCATCTTCATGCCCTCGCTGGCCCTGCAAAAGCCTCCTGACTGGTGTCCCAGCTTATGACATCGACCCTTTCCGTCAAGCCCATCCTTCTCAGAGCTGACTGCACTGTTCGCTGACTTAACATCTTCCCTCACATGCGGGACAAAATCCAAACTCCCTTAGCTTGCACACAAAGCTCCCCATTGTTTGAAACACAGATGAAGACTACACTTCCAGCTCTGCTCCTTATTTCCTGTGTGACCTTAAGTACGTTACTTAACCTCTCTGGGGCTGGATTCATCACACCATAAAATAAGGAAAAAGGACTAGCTCTGTCAGGTGCCAGGTAGGTCTATCATGCTGTGATGGGGGGAGGAGTGCATGTTCATCCTCACAATCAAATGGCTTTCTTAACTGCCTCAGTGTTTGGGGCTTTATACATTTAAGACTGACCTGAGCTTTCTTAGAGAGGAGTGTATTAATAACAGTAGATACACAGATACTGGATTCACTTAAAGTAACCTCATTTATATTAAATACAAGTAAAGGGAAAGGTGGTGGGTTGGGTGTGAGGAAGGAGCTGTAAGACCGAACGCCGAGGAGAACTGCCTCCCATGATCCAATCCTAACTTTCCGCTTCACCTTCCACGTGACTAAGTGTCCTGTGTCTATGGCAGCAAATGAAATACCGTGTGTCATCCCTGCTTACACTAAACGAAAGGATTTCCATCTCGAGCAATGCTGTTGGGGTCGCAGACCCTTTAGTTCAAGGCTGGTACTCGCTACCGACCCCGTACCTCTCTCAAGTAGTATGTCATGAAGCCGTCAATGATCCCGTCCTGTTCCAGTCCTATGATGAGGTTCACCACGCTGGTAAATCCAAAAACTGCATACACTAGAGCAAAGAAAGCAGGAGTTCAAAAAGCCGTAGCTCAGGGGACGTTGCCTAAGAGCCTGGCGTTCGCCAGTAATGATTTATTTTCATGTTTTCCAGAAGATACTGTGGACGTTGTCAATACGGACTAAAAGAACGTACCTCCTGTGCACGCAGCTGGATCTCTGCCCGTGTTGTGGAGCTGGGAGAGGACACCCCCCGACCCAGGGAGTAGCGAGTGACAAAGTCACCCACTGACTGTCCCAGAGGATTCTACCAGCCTGCCCCACCCATCCTCCACTTCCTACATGTGGCTGCCAGGGCCACATCTGCATCCCACCTGGGTAGCGGGAACAAAACCATTAACCAGTGGCCAAGGAAGCACAGAGGTGACGCCCAGGTTTAAAACATGGACTCAAAAGAGATCATTCATCTCAATGGTTACCAAGCAGTCTGCCTCACGGTGTGTCCAACGCACTTATCCCACACTGGAGATCCGAAAGACAGACAGTGGCTGACGTGCAAGTGACAGTGGCTTTAAGAAGAAAGGCCAGTGATTTTTTTAAAAAATGGATATGAGATGGAACCGGTGAATGTTAAAGAAGGAAAGCCGTAGCATCTTAGAGAATCTCACTAAGGTTGTGAGAATCTCCTCAACGGGCTGAAAACTACCAGCAACACACAGCTTAGGAATAACACTTTTTTAACAGTGAGTGATCAAATTTAGCGTGTGGCAGTTTGTCAATAAAGCTGCACGTTCAAGTTGTAACAAATCGGTGTCAAACTATGTGATGGGCATGGATGGTAGAAAAATCTGATGATGAATATCAAAACAGCTGTGAAAAAAGAAATGGAGAGGAGAGAGGGGAAGGTTAACTCACAGAGAAGGGAAGCTGCCCTTGCCCTGAGTCTGCGTTTACATCTTCCCCAGAAGGAGCAGAAGGCCCACGCGTGCCCGGCCCTGTAGACCCTGCCTCCCCGGGCCTCTGTGCAGGCCTCTGGTCCAGATCCCACTGACAGCGATGAGCCATCAGGTGATCAGCCACTGCGTGTCTCCCAGGAGAGGAAGCCTTCAGCACATGCTCATTCGGCTATTCTACCAACAATCGCCGATGCCAACAGGAGTGTCAGACGCTGGGTCAGAGATGGCAAGGATATTCTCTGCCCTCCAGTCTGGCCCTGTGGCTGCAGTGACAGACATGAGGACAGAGGGCTGAGGGGGTAGGAGCAAGGGTCCTCAACCCTGAGGAGTTGGGAGAGACATGAGCGCAGCTAAGCGTGGGCTCCACGGAGTGTGGAGGGAGTCGGGGGAAGACGGCAGCAGGAGACCAGTCTGCAGAGGGGGGCAGAGGCCAGATCAAAGGCAGGTGGAGTGGGGCCTTGAACTCAGACAGGCCCAGCTCATCTCCTGACCGGCTGTCAGGTCTTAGGTAAGTTACATCATTTCTCTAAGCTTCAGCATTTTTTACATGCAAGTTGGGAGAAAGTGTGCGGGTCAGTGCTGTCTCACTAACTGTGACCTTGACCATGTTTCTTAGCACCCTCTGAGCCAGATTCTTCATCTGTGCAGGGAGGACATTTGTTGTGAGGATTAAATAAAATGATACTGCTAATGCGGTCAGAGTCACACCAGGCACACCACAGGTGCTCAATCAGTGGTGTTTTTATTCCTTTAACATACAAGCGTACTTGCCAGGCAGTGGTCTAAGTACTTTACAACTAGTATCTAATGTTGGTACCAACCCTCCGTGGTAAGTATTGATACTATTATTTTCCTCATTACACAAATGTGCAAACTGAGGCTCCATATGGCTATGTTCCTACACGTGGCTGCCAGGGCCACATCTGCCAGGTGGAGGGCGCTGCAAACAGCAGGCTGAAGGCAGGAAGCCAGGAAGGAGCTGGTAAAAGAGCCGAGGTCAGAGGTCAGAGCATGGCTGGGCACAGGGGAGAGGAACGGAGGGGTGTCCTGCCTGGCCCTGGCAGCGACCTTCCCTCCACCAGGCTCCCAGCTGCGACAGGGTGGGGTCCACAGCCTGGGAGAGACTTTAGCTTACAGGAGAACAAAAATACTCCCACCCTTCCCGCCGCTTTACCAGGGGGCTCAGAGTATTCACAGCCACAGAGGGAAAGAGACTGAGGCCCCAGTGTTGTGCTCTTAAGTGGACACAAAGTGTTTCCCTCCCATGGAGACGTACCATAGAACAGTGGGTCCCGGGGTGGTTTCCTTTTGACCAGGACACGAGCCAACAGGGCTACCAGGAACAGGATGAGGGCAGCCACCCCTACAATTGTCCAGGAACTGCAACGACCAGAACAGGGAGGTGGTCACTTATCAAAATAAACACACTGGTGTATGGAATTCCCTGGCTATTGAATGCATTCTCTCGCAGCTCTGCCTCTGCCTATCCCTCAAGCACTGTGGAGTTCATGAAGTTTATCCGCAGCACTTGGGCCCCTCTGGGCTGCCCCTGTGACTTTCAGGGACCAGAGGTACGAGGTCCTCACTCTCCTGTCATCCTGCCCACCTGGGTGAACCATGTGTCCGAGCGCCCTCTGCTGCTGTCCCGCTGCCTCTGTCCACCTGCTCCTCCAAGCCCTGTTCCCAGTGTCTGACAGGTCTAACCACTGAATCTGCCTCCTCTCTCAGGACCAGCTGGAAACCCTCAGACCAAGCTCCAGGGAACACACAGGAGTCACAACTACATACACCTTCTCGGTGGACAAGCCACAGGCTGTGTGTATAATCAAAGGGGCCAGAGGACGAGGCCAATCCAAGGAGGGAAGAGCCTAGGCCGGGCCTAAGGCCAGAATGATGCCAGCGCCCCAACACCCAGGAAGCCAAGCCAGCATGCAACCCCATGCCCAGGAAGCCAGGGTGAGGCTACGTTGGGCACAGCCCCTGGTCTTTCTCCTGGGAAAGGGCATGGCACCAAGGAGACTGGGGACCAAAGGCCCTCCTCAGCAGGACAGCACTAGGGCACGAGGCTTGGTGGAGTCAGCAGTCAAGGGACCTGGAGTCCAGTACCTACTCTGCCACTCCCTGTGTGACCTTAGGAACATCATGTCATTTCATCATCTGTTTTTTAATTCATTAAAAAATATATTGAGGGAAAATGCCTTGCACACCCCTATGTGCCAGGCACTGTGGATGAAAAAGAGATCCCTGTCTACATGGGGGGAACCTATCTCAATAGGCTCTGAGCTTTCTCACCCAGAAGGCTACCTCCAGTCCTAAGAGATGTTCTCTCTCTCACTCCTCCACGCCAACAAGGCATCCAGTTCTAGACAAAGCACCACCTGGCCCACTCCCATGGCCTGCTACACTCCTCAGTAGCCCCTGAGAGAGGCTGCAAGCACCACTCCTTGGCCAAGAGCCCTCCACACCATCACAGAGGATTTCTGGATAACGTCTGCCACATGCCCCGGGACTTCTGGAAAGTATCCTTCACAGCCCACCAATACCTACTAATATCTGAGGGACGAACTTATGCTGAAGTTCGCTCCACACACCTACAGCTGGAATGGGTGCTAGGCACCAGTCAGACATCTGCCCCTAATGTCAGAGAGGTCAGTCAGGAAGTGATCCAACTCCTTGCAGGTAGAGGGACCCCAAGGAGACTGGCCCCAGGTCCAGGAAAGCTGTGTCCCCAGCACCTGGCCCCAGGACCCACTTAAAGAGTAAAGGAGTGGGCTCTGGGCATCAGCAGCGCCCAGATTTCCAAATGCCACCCTAGACCTACAGAATCAGAATACTTCAGGGGTGGGGTATGGGAACGTGCAACCTTTTCCAAGAAACCGGGATGAGTATGCACAGAAAGTCTGCCTCGGGACCTCTTTTAAGGTGTTCAGGAATTGATGGATGAATGAGGGAGGGAAGGAAAGGAAGAGGAAGAAAGGAAGGAGAAATGGGATGGATGGATGGGTGGATGGATGGTAGATGGATGGACAGATGGATGGTAGATGGATGGATAGCTGGATGGATGACAGACGATGGGTGGTGGGTGGAGGGATGGATGATGGATGGTGAATGGATGAATGGATGGATGGACGGATGGACGATGGACGATGGATGGATGGGTGGATGGACGGATGGTGAATGGATGACATAGTTCTATGACAAGAATGAGGATGACCATGTCAGTGACCAGGCAAGAGACTGAAATAGGAGGTTTCTAGCGGTACACATCAGTGGATGCTCCAGGCTCCTCCTGTAGGGATGAGACAAAGGAGGAGAGGATGGAAGAGGAAGCTAATGTGGGTCAGGAACATGATGCTGGGCTGAAGCATCCGGTGAAGAGGGAAGAGGATAGTGTGTGATGTAAGCTGACAGACATTTTAATCACAGCCTGAGACAGGTAGTGGCCAGGAGACAACTCCCATCCCTGCTCCTACCAAGGACCTAGGCTTGCAGCCAGCACCGTCACACAGCTGGTGCTCTTCTGGACTATGAGAGAGCAGTGTGAACTGGTTCACGGTGTCCTCTCACGCTCTCCACCTCTGGGGGAGGAGCAAAAAATGAAGAGAAACTGGGGCAACAGATCACCTGTGTCTCCCAGTGACAGCCAAGTGCAGGGCCTGCTCAGAACAGGGAGAAATGGATCCAGCAGGGACTCAGGGTGTGGGGGGAGGGGTAAGGGCTGCCACTAACCCAAGGGTGGAAATGTTGTTAGTCTTGGAATGTGTGTGTGTTTTGGGATGGGGAGCGGGGAGTTACTGATGCCCTTCCATGAACAGACAGCTACTGAGCGGGGTCATGTATGGGTGAGTATGAGCAGAGTGTTTGTGTGTGCGTGTGTGTTTGTGTGTGTGTGTGTATTTGTGTGTGACAGAGAGAGAGATCCCACCCTTTTCTGACTCCTCGACTTAATCTGATTTTTCTGTTTTTCAGGCTTTTGTAAAAGGTCTGGTGGGAAGGAAGCTTCAACTAAGTCAACTAATGCAAACTTAACGGGATAGCCCACTATGCACGAGGCCCCGTGCTGGGCAGGACAATACTAAGGGGAGCTATGGCCTGAGAAGGTAAGTTCTGACCACAGGAAAGTAACTCTTGTGGGAAGAGCACAACCCAGCCGGGCTCAGAGGAGGGAGAGATCACATCTGCTTGGAGGGACCTGGAAGAGGAAGAGGTGGCATTTTCCTCTGGGCCATAAAGCACAGGTGTGGCTTCAACAGTCAGCTACAGGGAGGAAGGCATCCCCGTCAGAGGGAACAGTGTGAGCAATGGCGAGGAAGTGGGAAAGTTAAGGAGTGTCCTAGGGGCACAGAACAGTCCCGTGTGGCTGAAGCACCAGCACAGTGGGCTGCGCTGGTGGGCTGAGGCAGAAATGCACAGGGCACTGGGGCAGGAAGGGGACCTCCCGTGGGAGGCTTTGCCATGGGCTGGGCCAGAGAGGGCCAGTGCCAGGGGAACAGGAAGGAGGAAACATGCTAGCCCAGCCCGGGGAATTAGAGAGAAGGAGACAGTGGGAGGGCTGGAGGGAAGGAGTGGAGAAAGAAGAGGGAGGAATCAAAAGCTACTGGGATTTTAACCTGCAGGAGGACAGGAAGAATGGTTGGAACCAATTATTCCAAACTCTGCAGGGCTTAGCAATGTGCTCAACAATACACAGCAATACATAATTCACCATGTGTTCAGTAAATGCCATCACCATCCTCCCAGTGGCTGAGGCCAAAATCTCAGTCATCCTCAGATCCTCTCCATGCCATGTGATCCTTCAACAAGCTGCACTGCCCCCCCTCCCAAATATCCCAGCACCCAGCCACATCCCTCTCCCTGCACTGCTCCCTGTTCCCCTACCTGGAAAGCTCTGTCCCCAGATCTTCCTGTGGCCACCTGCTGCAGCTCAAGTCACCTCCTCCAAGAAGCCTTCCCTGACCACCAGTCCCCTCCATCACTCTCATGTCGCCCCACTTTCTGTGCTGATGTCTATCTCAACACATGCCTCCCCAATCTCTTGTGGTTTGTTCATAGCTATTTCTCCAGCACCTGGAACAGTGCCAAGCATAGAATCTGTACTCAATAAATATTTGCTGAACTGCCCATAATGCCATTTTAGGAGGGCAGGGTCCTCCATGCACTATATTCACAGACATGTGACATTCACTGCCCAGAGATGCTTCTTCCAGGAGTTGTGCCCCAAGACTGGGTCAGACCGAGGGCTGTCACCGCCCATGCCTAGGGAGCACTCAGTATGGATGGGTGCCATCTGGATAAGGCTGTCAGCAAGTGGTGGCCCCAGGAACAAGAGAGGAGCAAGTCACCGCCCTGTGGGCAGACACTTCTCTACAGCCTGCAGGTCTGGAGGGGGTCTGCAGCATACAGACTGATGCAATCTCCTTAGCACCAACTGCTGTGGGACACATAACAGGTTTACTTCCTCCTCCCCGCAGAGAGCAAGAAACATCAGCAGGCCCCGGGGTCTGTCTGGCACCTTTCCCACTGCTGGAGCAGGCTGGCTGCTGACTGGTGCCCATTGCTTGACCAGGGAACCCTCACAGAGGAGAGGCAGGGCTTTGAACCAAATCCATATGCGGCCTCCTTCAGCCCCACCCATTTCCTTAGCATGGAACTGCCCTGCCTCTCTGCCTCGCTGCCCATCCTACACAACACTGCGCCCTTACGGCTTTTTGGATCCCGACAATAGGATGCAAATATAGGCCATTTGACAGGAGAACTGAGGTCGGGCCCCACGGTTAGTGCCAAAGCCAGGCCTAGAACCCAGGTCTTTGTCTGTTAGTTCTGGGCTATTTCTGCTAGTCATTCACAACAGTTTCTAAAATTAATACGAAATGACAAGTATGCGTGTGTGCATACATGGAAACGTTCCTGAGAAATGCGAAACGAACAAGGCACAGCCTGAGATAAGACCAAGCTCCCAAGTTGTCGGTGTGTGTACCGCCCCACCCCTGCCCCTGGGCACTTGAAGGTTAGGGGCATTGCCTTATTGACCTCTGTAACCCCGGATACCTGGCACGGGGCGGGCACAGAACGGACGCCCAGCACTTGCCCCCAGAATTGCGCCGAATGTCAGGGATGCCAGCCTAAGCGAGAACCCCGGCCCGCACGACTCCGGGCGCCTCCCTTCCTCCGGCTGCCCGCGGGGAGCCCTGGAGACCGGCGAACCGCTGCCCTGCAGTTTGCGGCTCGGCCCCCTCTGAAAAGTTGCTGGGGCTCCTGACGCGCCGACCCCCGTCGCGCGCACCCACTCACTCGTGCTGGGCCGCCAGGTGGTTGAAGACGTAGGTGACCGGGATGGCCGAGAGGGACAGCACGAAGACCCCTGTGGCCGCCGAGGCACTCATCGCCGCCGCCGCCGCGCAGCTTGCCCTTCACCGCATCCCGCGCGGGCGCCCCGCCCCAGCTTCCGGCTGCGCCCGCGCCCCTCGGCCGCGCCCTTCAAGGCGCCCCGCCCAGCGCGCCCCCAGCGCTGCGCCCTCAGCAGCGCCCTCAGCAGCGCGCCCACGGCTCGCCCGCCCGCAGCCTCCTGGTATGCAGGGCAGGTGCACAGGCCCGGGAGGTCCCCTGCTGTCCTCCCGCCCAGGGCTGCTGGGGCTCCACCGCGAGCGCCGGGCGGCGCCGAGGAGCGGCGACAGCCCCCTGACCGCGGACAGGTGTCCCCGGAGGCGCGCGCTCTGCGGGAAGGCGGCGGACCGGGAGGTGGGCGCGGGGCCCCGGCCCTGGGCGCAGCCGGGAGCTTGTCATCGACGAGAGAGGCTCTGAAGAGTGTCTGGGCCGAACTGCGGGCAGGCAGAGGGTGGAGCCAGACCCGGGGGTGTCAGAGCGGGAAGAGCCCGCGAGATCATCCACGTGGGGAACCCTCGGGCCGGGGATAGGAAGGGATAAATGATCCCGAAACCTTGGAACCTCTCCACCGGAGCAGCCAACAACCGGCAGCGAGCAGTGCTCCTACTCCGAGTCCGAATTCCGGTTTAAACCCCGTCTGCTCACTCACCAGATGTCGACCTTGGTCAAGTACTTAACCTCTCTGTGTCTTTTCCCTTCTCTACCAAATGGGAATAACCCACGTCAGTGTGATTTTGGGATTCACTGAGTTAATAGGCATGGAGTGCGTGCCCAGTACTAATCAGTACACTGCTATCACCTGCAATTCCCATTTTTACTTGGAGCTGACACTCCGAGGAATACGATGATTTAAGAGACTAGAACGCTATCCATTTCTCTTACAGGTAGCGCTCCTGGAAGCCAGCTTACCACCAGCCAGCCTGCCCTAGGCCATACAGAGTACAAGGAAGCCAAGGACTCTGCCCTCACACTGCTGTCAGACAGACAGACGCCCACTCGTTACAGAGAATAATGCGGGCCAAGTCTGTCCTGGCTGCTTGACCTTGCTGCGGGGCGGCCTCAGACAGCCCCTGGGACAGAGCCTGGAGTCCTCTACTGGCTGGGAAAGGGAAGGGAAGTGAGTTTCAGACAGAGGACAGCTCAAGCAACCAAGGAAAGCACATGTACTTAGTGACCTTACACCTGCTAACAAGCTGAAGACACCAGCAGCTCGTTTTAGAGGTGAGAGAAAAGAGTGGCAAAGAGGCTCTGAGCTGCCCCAGGGCCACTCAACTTTTCAAAAGCCAGCTTTCCCAATCCCCTATCCCAGCTATTCTTGGAGGCTTCTCAAACTCTGAGGACATAATGATAAAGCCTTGGCCCAAACTGTGACACATCCAAAGCTTTCCCAAGTGATGTCCTTACCTGTGACCTGGACATCATCCTCTTCCACAGCTACTCCTAACCTTTACCAGCTCCTTAAACTCTTTCCTCCTCCCCGAGGACAAATACCTCGTCGGAGACCCCTTCTCTCCTCCCAGCCAGTCTCCCAGAGCCCAACCCCTCCATCACCAGCCAAACCTTGCCGAATCAATCTTGCCTTCTCTCTTATACCGTGAACCCCTCTAGCCACCCTGGGTCCTTCCCCTCAACCTAGACACATGCTTGTGTATGATCCAGTTTAGAAAACTGCTCCCTGGACCTGTGTGTCCTTTCCATTTGCCATCTTCTCTCTTTCCTTTCCCATCCATGCTGGGTTGTTGTTGTTATTGTTGTTTTTATCCCTTTTAAAACTTTTTTTTAACATCTTTATTGGAGTATAATTGCTTTACAATGGTGTGTTAGTTTCTGCTTTATAACAAAGTGAATCAGCTATACATATACATATATCCCCACATCTCCCTCCCTCTTGCGTCTCCCTCTCTCCCTCCCTATCCCACCCCTCTAGGTGGTCACAAAGCACCGAGCTGATCTCCCTGTGCTATGCGGCTGCTTCCCACCAGCTATCCATTTTACATTTGGTAGTGTATATATGTCCATGCCACTCTCTCACTTCGTCCCATCCATGCTGGGTTTTAATGACCGTGTCTGTGCTAATAGATCCCATTTCATTATTCCTAGCACTGATGTCTCCCCTCAGCGCTGCTTCCTGGCATTCCACGGACAGCTCACCCTCAACATGGCCAAAATGGAATTCCTCGTCTGCCGCAAGACCACTCCAGCTTTATCTCATCCGGTGGCACCACCATTCACCTGGTGATCCAGAAAACTGGTAGTCCGCATCGGTTCTGGCCAATCCCGAACTCCTATGATTACCACAGTCCTCCTGTTACTTCCCAAATATCTCTCAAGTCTGTCTCCCTATCTGTACCATTGCTGTCTCAGTTCAGGTCTCTACTATCTTCCATGTGCCAGCCTCCTCCCTGCCTCTGACCTCACGTGCTCCAGAAGACCTTACCTGGCCGCCCTCCTGTGCCTCCTCCACCCTCTCTATCAAGTACCCTGCTTTGCTTTCTTCATAGTACTTTACTTATACTGTCCAAAATCATCTTGTTTACACATTTGCTTCCTGTTCTGTGTCCCTCTCTCCATTATGACATAAGCTCCCTGAGGTCAGGAACCTTATCTATCTTGTTTACCATTCTATTTCCATCACCTAGACTAACACCTGTGTGGAGCAGGTACTCGAGAAACATTTGTTCACAGAATGAACGCTCTAGATCATCATTGCCTGACGGAAATATAATGCAAGCCACAAATGTGAACCGCATGTGTAGTTTTAAATTTTCTAGTAACCACATTAGAAAAGTAAAAAGACAGAGGTGAAATTAATTTTAATAATATATTTTATTTAACATTATATGTCCAAAAGATGATCATTTCAATGGTCATCAATGTCAAAGGTGTTAATGGGAAACTTTACATTCTTTTTTTTTTTTTAAAACTAAGGCTTTGCAATTTTGTGTGTATTTTACAGTATAACTCATTTCAGGCTAGTCACATTTCAAGTGCTTAATAGCTACCTGTGGCCAGTGGCGTCTGTATTGGGCTTCACAGTTCTATATGTATTCCTCCTATCTTATCAAGCTGGCTTCGGTTATGCTCTCTGCTACTTTAGGAATGGGTGTGACAATTAAATCACTAACAAGAGGACTCAAACATCCTCAGAGAGTCTACCATATTTCCAGCATTGTTCTAAGAAGTGGTCACACAAAGATGAATCACAAACACATTTCGCCCCAAAAGACCACAGTCTAGTGTGGGAAAAACACATGTAAACAATTAGCATGCAAGGTGATAAAAGATTTATGTACAAATTGCTGTAGGAATCACCAATCTTGTCTGAAGGAGTCAAGAAAAGCTTCAGAGAGGAGTTGAGGCTTTAGACCAGCCTTGCAGAACAAGTAGAAGCTGGATAAGCAGGCAAGGACTAATGGGATTTTCCAGAAAATGGAAATAACACATGTGAAAGCCAGAAATGTAAGAGAGAGCATGTCAGTCAATGAACTTCAAGCTGTTTGCTCTGGTTGGAAACACTCGTGCATGAGGGGGGCTGGCGGGAAGTGGCAATGGAGAGGTGATCGGGGATTCAGTCTCAGAAAACCTTAAGGGCAGGGAGCATTTAAGATTTATGAGTAGGAGGAGAGGCTGACTTAATCAGAGTCACTTTTTTGGAGCGGGGGCGGGGGGGGGGGCCTGCCACGAGGCTTGTGGGATCTTTGTTCCCTGACCAGGGATTGAACCCTGGGCTGCAGCAGTGAAAGCACGGAGTCCGAACCACTGGCCTGCAGGGGAATTTCCCAGAGTAGCATCTTCAAAGATCTGCCTGGCAGCTGTTGCGGACCATGGTTTAGAAAGAGGAGAGGTAGGAGGCAGGAAGTCCAGGTGGGAGGCTTATCCTAGCAAGAGATGCTGAGGACCTGAACCAAAGTGATGGCAATGAGAGGGAAGAGGAGGGGGCAGATATGAAAGATCTGGATAGGACTTGTAAGAGGAGAGAGCCTGGAGAAGGGGGCTTGAGGATGAGTTTGGTTTTGGATACGTTGGGTTTCCAGTACCCATGGGGCTCCCAGGAGGAGCCGTCCCATAGGCAGTTGGGGATACGGGTCTTTGGCACCCAGAGAAGCGCAGGCTGCAGATACAGATTCGAGGGTCACCAGCCTAGAGGTGTGGCTTAAAAATCAAGGAAATGAATTCAATGTCCAGGAAGAGGGTCGAGTCGAAGAGAACGGTAACAGGGGCCACCTGAGAGGGGCTGGTGAGCATTTCCATCAGCAGAGCAGCCCAAGGGCATCTGAACTCAACGGCAGAAGCATCCAACATCCCACACCTGTGAGCTGCTCCCTAGGAGTCTGCCAGGGACCCAAGGGCCATGGCAAAGCTTTGGGGTACTTTGGTATGCATGTTGGAGATTATATTATTTTGTTGACAACAATTTGTCTTAATGCTGAAAATATGAGTGGTCAGAATGCTTGTAGTGGTGAAGAAACCCTCCGCAGGTTTCTGGGGAGGGCACAAACCCAGTGAATATAATCTCATTCTCCAGCACTGCAGTACTCTGTAAATTATAAAGGAATTCCATCAACATTATCCTATAATCTTCACAGCAGTTCTCTGAAGAGTATGGAGCCATTTATGGATGAAGACACTGGGGCTCAAAGAGGTGAGGCAACTTGCCCAAGGTCAAAGGGCTAAGAGAGGGTGCACTTAAATTCAGATTTGCTGACTTTAAGTCACTATACCCATGATGCCACAGCTGACCAGCAGCAAAGCACCACATCGGGCACCTTAGAAATGGTGGGTGGACACCCTACAAATTTGGCCAGTTGACTCATTGCTTTAGGAGGCTGAGTTCTGGAGTTCTGCTCTATGCAAATCAGTAATTATTAAGTTGCCCCTTCTCTTGAGAAAGGGTTGGGTATGACTTAGAATAAAAGGCATTCAGACAATAAATTTGTTTTTTGATTTTCGGTTTTTGTTTTTTTAGGACCATCCATCTTGCAAGCCGTGAAGGCTAATATTATAGCTGTGAAATTTGACTCCAAGCTTCCTGGAAGCAAAAATAGACACACAGAGGTCTGTACTCTGCCCATTCCCTGATGAGAAAGACAGTTTTGGGTGTATTGGTTCAAAAGAATTGAGGAATCTGGAATTACACGGAAGGGCCCCTGACCGTGTCTGCTTCTGCCATGGAGGGGAAGTGAAAGCAAAACATCAGAGAACCTGGTCACATAGGAAGTAGGAACTAAGGAAGAATACTGCTGGGCAGGAACTGAGGGAGCACAGTGAGGCTGTTCTGGAAGAGTGTAGAAGTCAGCCCTGTGTTCACTCGTTAGTACCCAGCCCCAGTGGCGTCTTCCCCTTTCACATGCTTCAGTTTTCCACTATTTTTCTTCCTTCCTTTTTTCTTTCTTTTTTTTCCTTATTGAAGTATAGTTGATTTACAACATTGTGTTACTTTCAGGTGTACAGCATAGTGATTCAGTAATTTTTGCAGATTCTTTTCCATTACAGGTTATTACAAGATACCGGGTACAGTTCCCTGTGCTATTCAGTAAGTGCTTGTTGCTTATCTATTTTATATATAGTAGTTTGTATCTGTTAATGCCATACCTCTAATTTGTCCCCTCCCCTCCTCCCTTTTTTTCCCATTTTTTATCCTTCTGATAAAAGTTGTGATCATGTTCTTTGGAAAGGCTGAACACTCTAGACAAACGTAAGTGGGGCAAACAGATTGCTCTGTGGGGTGTATAGAGACAGAAAAAAAATGACCTGAGAGTGACCAGGGCAAGGGTAGTGTATCTTAGTGGGTACATTACTAGGGTCTTGTCCCGAGAAGGGACCAGAGAGTGACCAGTCCACTCAAAGAAACATTAAGTTATCCTAAACACTAAGTCACATTAAACACTGGGTTTGTCTTTGGCCACAAGTGCCCTGACTGTCTTAATATGCTACAATGATTAACATGGATATTTTTGGGTAGTGCCAGGCATAGAGCAGGTGCTCAATAAATGCTAACTGAAGGGAGAGGTAAAGTTAGTATGTAAAATGTTTGTCAAAAAGTCTTGTGCAGTTGCTGGATGAGATCTGCACCATTGCCTTGGGTTTCCTAGCAATCAAAGCAAAGAGGGAAACATAATGTTATAACAGTCACAGTGTCCGTAAGATAAAAACAGATCATAGGCTCAGAAGATCTCTCTCATGGCTCCTCTTAAAGGGAACACCATGTCATATAGTATGTCCTCAGCAACATTCCTACAATAAATATAGAAATCTAATTCTGAACAGTTGTCTCTCAGTATGTCTTCAGTGCAGGTGGCTGGCATATTGCCAAGAGTCACTCAGTGCAAAGGAGCCAAAATAATTCCTCACAGATAAGCAGCTCTCAGAAGGTTTGGTTTGGTTCGATGATAGATTTTACGATATCTGGGGGCAGAGGCGGAAATACCTTCCCAGGAAGCACACCACCACTTCCAGTCCAAGCCCAGAGCATCAATGGGTTTCATTGATCATTCACCAGTGATCAATGAAACCTTCTCCCATGGAGATTGGACATCACCAATAGGCTTCTTCTCACTTGCCAACTTAAATCGATCTGCCAGCTCTGATCAAAGGGTATTCACGAATATCCTTCAGGCGATGTTCTGTGAATATTATTTCATATAGTAACATCTTAATACAAATGAAGCGACAGAGAGTTTGAAATTTCAGTGGCTGGCAAGAGAGAAGAAACATTCTGAGTGGATAAGTAAGGACAGAGCATTATGGTTTGACAGGCAAACAAATGGAGGGTAATTTGACACTCTTGCATGAAAAGGATGAGCATGGGACAAACAAACCCGAGGTTGCTGCATTGTTCAGACCCTCCTGAGGTATAACAAAAAAAGACTTCACATGTCAGGGTTTGGGTTAGACAGAACCCATTGGAGGGGAGGTTGAGAGACTTCCTTGACATTTACTTTTCCCCTCTAGATACCTTTTCAACCTCTGATTCAAGAGTTAAAGTAAAAGTAGTTCACATAAGAATAGTTAACATAATTAACTGGCCAATAAATACATTTTTTAAAAAGACTAAGCAATACAGTGCTTGAAATAGGAAAGAGTACTCCTAGTAGACCTGAAATCTGAAGGATACATAGAAGACTGTGGTAGCTGTTACTTTGCTGGTGTCCTGAACCACACTTCTCAGTATTTGTGCCCTTTGTAGTTCCCTACCACACTGACTCTGGACTTGGCAGGTGGCTAGCTTGCTCTGGCCAATGGGACATTAGGAAGCATAATTTAAACAAAAGTTTATAGGAGCTTGCCCATTAGAGTCTGTCCTCTTATGGTGCTCTTTCTTGGAACCAGCCACCATGCTGTAAGGAGGCCCAAGCAGCCATGTGGAAAGGACAACACGGAGAAGAACCAAGGCCCCTGGCTGACAGCCCAAGCTGAGGTCCCAGCCAGCAGCCAGCACCAAACATGGAAGAAGGTTAGTTTTGACCTCCCAGCCATCCCAACATCAACACCACATAAAGCAAAAGAGCTGCATGGTCAACCCACAGAAGCATGAAAAAGGAGACATTTTTGATGCTTTAAGCCATTAAAGTTTGAGGTGGTTTGTCATGCAGTCATGGATAACGGAAAAGTAGGAAGCAGTAGTGGAGAAAGAACAGAGGCAATTTAAACCTGAGACACCAAAATTCTTCCCAAGGGAGATAAGGAGCAGGTTCAAGTTCAGAGTCAATAAATGCAGAGTAGGGGGGGTTTGGACGAGCATTGAGGAACAGTATTGTGGACAGCTCAGATAGTCAGCCCTTCCTTCTCTCCTGGCACGAAAATGTAATAGATGAAAGCAATGGCATTCTCATCATTAATCAAAAAACCTGCTCTCTAAAGAAAGAGGAAAATCTGTTTAGAAGATGTCTGAGGGGGCCAGTAGGAGGGCCTGAGAATTCAGCAGAACCCAGTTAGAAATTCTAAAGGGCTCTGCCCCCAGAATAAAACCCACTTGGACAACTGTGAGGGTCTCTATCTTGACTACTTCCCTCTTATCCTGGTACCCTAAAAAGGTGTCTATCTTCTGAAACCCCACATGCATAGAACTCTCAGACAATTCTGTCAGCCAGGGGAGAGGCCTGACAGGGACCAACAAATCTGCCAAGATGTTCAGGAAGGCTACCCACACTGCTTAACATAGACCTTTATTCATAACTATAAGCAGAAAACCAAGGTTGCTAAATATATTAGGAAAATCAGCAGCATGAAAGAGAAGGCCCAGGTTGAACCAATAGAAAAACTGACCTTGGCGGAAACAGAGACAATTTAAGAAAGAAGAGAGAACTTTATAAAAATTGCAGTTAACATCCTCAGAGGCATTGCAGTTGAGAACTGGTCAGAAGTGGCTAACAGAAAGGAACAAAGAACAAGAAAAAGTTCTAGGAAATTAAAAATGGGATTGCAGCGGGGAAAATTCAATTCATGGGCTGAAATAATAATTTGGACACAGCTAAAGACCAAGCAGTTAATCTACAATCAAGGACTCTCACATAATGTAGAGCAAGAAAAATAAAGAGGCAGAAAATATAAGAGCGTGGAGCAGGGACCCAAGAGGTCCTGCACCTGTCTTATTAGCAAAGAATGGAGAAAATAGAGGAGAGAAAATAGCAAAGAAGTAACAGAACAATATCTTCTTAAGCTCAAGAAATACACAAGTCTTCAAGACTGAAAAAGCCCACTGAACAAAATTAAAGAAAAAAGACTAAGCTCTCCCCACCAGCATTCCCAGAACCCTTTACACTGATCTACTCGTTCCTTTTTCCCATAGCATATTTCACCTGTTGGCATACTATGTAATTTTCTTATCCATGCATAAGAAATATCCATGTTATTTTCAGCCTGTCTCCCTTGCTAAATTGTCAGCTCCAGGAGGGCGGGAATCTTTGCCTGATTTGTTCATTGTCCAGTGAACCTAGCACCTTGAACAGTGCCTGGCCTTTAGCGGGCATCAGAAAATATTTGTTGAATTGAATTAAAATCTAGATAGACACATCCTGGTAAAATTTTATAATTGTACATGTAAACAGGAAATCCTAAAATCTTTGGGATTTCCTACTAAAGAACAAGACACAGAACTGTCATCTAACATTAACAACATTGAATCCTGGAAAACAGAGTAGTATCTTCACAGTTAGCAAGGAAACCAGTCTCGGACCTAGAATTCTAAACCCTGCCACACTGCCAGTAATTTGTGAAGTCAGTAATAAGGCATTTTCAGATATGCAAGAACATTTACTATCCATGCATCCTAGATGACAGATTATGCCAGTATATTTTCCAGCAAAATTTTTTTAAAAGTTCAAGAAAAGACAGCATGGAATACAAGAAACTGAAACCCCAAGGAAGTGAAAAAAGCCAGCAAGAAATCAAAAGAATTGATCACGTTGGGATGATTGAATGGATCTCCCTGGACCAACAATGTTTAAATGACATGAGGATTTACATTTATTAATATTCTCTGGCTCCAATCACACGAACTGTTTCTTTAGTGACTAATATTTACATGTCACAAGACTATGCTATTTAAAAGTTTTCTAGGGACTTCCCTGGTGGGGCAGTAGTTGAGACTCCACACTTCCACTGCAGAGAGCATGGGTTCAATCCTTGGTCAGGGAACTGAGATCCGTGGTGCAGCCAAAAAAAAAAAGTTTTCTATTTTTGAAATAACTGGAAAACAGTTACAAAACAAAATGTAAATATTGTAAACCTTTACCCTATAAGAATCACAGCTACAAAAATTGAGAGGGGCTGACAGAGAAGAAGGTGTTTCAAAGCCTTTTTTTTTTTTAAATAAAATTGAAATTGAAATCCCCTTCCCAGTCCCAATTCCTCTCCCTCCATCTCTAGAAGTAATCACTACCCTGTAATGGGGGCATATCCAGTCTTTATTTATATATGTCTCTATACATGTAAACAATATATAGTTATTTTATAAAATTTACATAAATGATAATATTCTTACATTTTTTTTCACTTAACATTGAGTTTTTGAAATCCACTGATTTCTATACACTTGTTCATTCATTTTCACTGCTAGAGCATTCTACTGTATGACCATACCACGATTTATTTTTCATTCCTCCACTAATAGATCTCAGAATTGTTTTTAATTTTTCACTTCTATAAACAATGCTGTAATGAACATCCTGTGATTCTCTCCTGTGCACACATCAAGAGTTTCTCCAGGTGGCAATACTTAAACACAAAACAGCCAGGTCAAGGTGTGCATGTTGTTTGGAGCTTCTTTACACTTGTTCAGTCCAGGGTCAGTTTCCTGCAAGTTTCTTCATTGACCTGATGAGCTTTGAAAGCAAAGGTCCTTCCCAAGAGTCGGTGAGCTTGGCTCTAATCCAGAAGTTCTCAAAGTTGTCTCCAGTCTACCCTCTGAGAAACACTGCCCTAATCCATGGCTGGAGACAGATAGTATCTTCAAATCCAAATCAGATGTCAGGAAAAGATGCAATTGATCATAAGAAGAATCAGATGGGAAAGGTCAGTAATTTCCCCCAGAATATTCTGGTAGAAGAAATTCAGATCTCAAACAATGGTATAGAATGGCTACAGTTTTACAAGGGAGAGCTTCCCCCACTACTCTGAGCTCAGGACATGACCTATGATCTTTGTCTTTAGACCCTTTTGTGGTGGGACATTTTTTGCTACTTCACACTTTCATCACAGGTTATGTCTCCTTTAAAGGTCCCAGCTCTCTGCAGGATGTCAGTTTCAATGTTCTGCATCCAGTGAACTCAAAGCCCAGGTCACCTAGACTAGTGTAGACATAAAAACCAGGTTTCCAGGTTATTGAAATGACAACCTCCCTGGAGCTGTAGGCACTGCATTTCTCACTGACTCCAGGTCCCAGACTTTAGTTTTAGCCTCTGGGAATTTCACTTACTTTCTTGCAGTCTAGGCTACATGTTTAAGTGCTCCTGTTATATTGTATCCAGCATTTAGGTGTTTTTAATTTTATTTTTATTTATTTATTTGGCTGTGCTGGGTCTTTAGTTGTGGCATGCAGGATCTTCACTGCCATATGAGGGATCTTCAGTTGTGGCATGTGGGATCTAGTTCCTTGACCAGGGATCGAACTCTGGCCCCCTGCATTGGGAGCATAGTCTTAACTGCTGGACCACCAGGGAAGTCCTCCCATTTAGGTGTTTTTAAGTGGGAAAGTTTTCAGATTATCTAGTCCAGATAGCTCAGGACTTTAACTCAAAATAATTAAACTCTCAAGCAAGAGGTGAAAATAAAAAGGCATTTTCAGAAATGCAAGGTCTCAAAAAATCTACCTCCCTTGAGCCTTTTCTCAGAAAGCTACTGGAGAATGTGTTCCACTGATACAAGGGAGTATACAATGTAGAAGAGGATGTGGGATTCAGGAAACAGGAGCTCCAGCCCCTGAACGGGGCTGAGGGATCCCCCAGGAAGATGGGGTGACAACTGTGCAGGAGCAGGCCTGGAGAACAAGCAGTCCAGTTTAGGGCAGAAGGGAGGCAACTCCAGGAGAACTGTCTCTAGAACAAGATGTAACTATTAGGTTACCTAGTATGTTTGAAGGTATTAAGATATGAAAAACTCCAGAGACTTTGAAGTAGTGAGAGGAAATAGAAAACTAAGCAAACGGCCTCATCTTCTATAGTAGAAAGTCAATAGATAACATCCAAACCTGAAAAAAATCAAGAAATTCCAGTGTAAACATGTTATTTAGAAATATGGGGCAAAAGCAGGCATTAGAAGATGTTGCCTTCAGGGGCAGAATTCACGGATGGGGAAAAGAAGGGAAAGGGATTCTGGTTTTCATTTCAAGCCACATACATCTATTTTTATTAAACAGATGTATAACTTTGATAAAAATAAATCAGTAAATAAAATAAGTATGATGGCATAATGCACAACATTAATATCATTTTTGAGCTTTGCATCAAGATCCAAAACAGGTGTCTTTGCATAAGTATTCAAGAGATTAGTCAGTTTTCCAAAGGCAGTTCTTTTTTTTAAGGCCGCACTGCGAAGCATGTGGGATCTTAGTTCCCCGATCAGGGATTGAACCCTTGCCCCCTGCAGTGAAAGCGTGGAGTCCTAACCACTGGACTGCCAGGGAATTCCTCCAAAGGCAGTTCTTAGTCCTTTGATATTCAAATCACCTTCTTTGAAGAACTTAACACATTTTTATCCTTGTCTCTTATTTGCTTCATGTGTTAACTGGTTTTATAATCAAATTTTCATTTGTGAATAAGCCATTCTCCAACATCCCTTTAATCAACTTCATGAAATTCTGCAACCCCACAATCCTGGAAAGGATGACTGACTATTAAAAAAAGCCATTGACTCAATGGCAGAGGTAAACTCTGGCTAGTCCAGTGGGGACTGATTTCATTATTGTCTGGTTTGTTAGTGAATATGTTGGAAGGCTATTGACTTCGGCTACTTTAC